GACTGGTCCTTAGCAAAAATTACGCAGGAGTCCGAAGAGAAGAATTGTACGCAGTGAAGTCCGATCCGACCAGAGAATCAGAAACTACAAAAATGTAGGTCTGATAAGACAGACTAAAAAAAAAACAATTGGCCTAAAAAAACATGCCACGCCCAAAACCCGACCCTGAAAAACATGGGTTCTCGCATGGGCGACCCTGAGCGATCAGCCTCCCTAAAACCAATCTGAGGGCCTGGATGTTAGAGTAGCGAGATAAGTGTCTAAGGGAAAATCGTAGAGGGATACAGAACTAGGGCTGTACTCACTAAGAACTAAACTAGCTAGGCTATGAACAAATAGGACCTAGCTAATCTACATAAATATATTTGTTGACACACCCCCTAGCCTAATATATTTGTAGCCCAGCACTACTAGTCTGACCTCTGGTGAAGGCAACAAGGCAACTCAGGGCAGCACTACTAGTCTGACCACTGCGACAAAACGCCATAAGGCCAGTCAGCAAGTGTAACAAGGCATTCAGGTATAGAACAACAAGTACAAGCAGGTATTGTATGACTAAGGATACAAAGAGTGGTGCTACTACGGAGACTAGACCAAGTTGAGTACAGAATCACTGATGGTCACGAGGCGCAAGTGCCTTAGTGAAGATATCAGTAGTGTTGGTCTCGGAGGCCAACTGTACCACATGAGCCTGGCCGCGCTGCTGCAACTCATGCAGCACAAAGTACCGCAGCTGCATGTGCTTCGCTCTACCCTCAAGTCGAGGCTCCTGACACAGGAGGATCATGGCCCTGTTGTCAGCAAACAGGACCGGGGGTAGACCTAGCCTGCTCACCCAAGTCAGCACCACTGGCTCCCGTCCTCCTAGCACAAGCCCCACTCCTGATGTACTCGCCAGATACCACAGTACCCTCTTGGCAGCCGACCAGTGGACTGGTCGGTGCCTGCCTGTCACAACAAAGCGAGCCAGGAGACTGAGAGGGTATGCTAGATCTGGTCGAGTGCAGGTCATCAGGTACATGAGGCACCCCACCAGCTCTGCATATGGACCACTAGCCTCGACCGGCTCAGCCGGTATAGGAGCAGAGAGCTTGTCATCCACAGGTAGAAGGGTGGGCTGTGCTGAGGTGTATTGGAGACTGAACCTCAGGAGGATCTGCTGCACCATATGGGACTCGGAGAGTGTGATCGTGCAAGCAGCACGGTCACGAGAGATCTCTCATCCCAGATAGCGCCTCAGCTCCCCCAAGTCTGTACAAGTGTGTCTCCTAAGTAACTCGGCCTTCACTGAGGCCAGTGCAACTCTGTCAGCAGTAGCAAAGATAAGATCGTCTACGTACACTAAAATGTAGAACGGTGTCTGACGCGTGCCAACAAAAAGAGAGGGGTCAGCAGAGGACGGAAAGAAGTGCAGCTCAGCAAGAGTGGTGCGAAGCGTGTCGTGCCACTGACGGGGTGCCTAACGAAGAACGCAGACAGGACGGCGCAGGCTTCACTCGGTCCCAGGTGGGAAGGATCCAGAGAAGCCTAGAGGGCGCCGGAGGTAGATCTGCTCGTGCAGACTACCCTGAAGGAACGTTGTGGAGAAGTCGAGTGAGTGAAGCTCGTAGTCACATTGTGCGGCTATGTGAAGAAGGGCCCGAAGTGTAGTCATCTTCTGGGTCGGGGAGAAGGTCTGGAAGAAGTCCACACCCTCACGCTGACTGAAGCCTCTAGCCACGTAATGCGCCTTGAACTTCGGCGGCTCTCCAAGTGCGTGCTTCACCCTGTAGATCTACATGTCATCGACTACGTTCGCCCTAGGCGGGGGAACTGCATCGACGTAAGTGTCTGTGGATCTGTAGGATGCCATCTCAGCCTCCATAGCCTGTATCCACTGGGCTCCCCAGGGCCCGACACCGCGTCAGTGTAAGAGTGCGGAACAGGGATGTCGAGAGCGTCAAGGTCGCCCTCTGATGATAGAAGCATGGAGCAGAGATGGGGAGCAGCGGCAGCAAGGTAGGCCAACTCGTACTGCCTATCCTCTAGCACGTCATTGCCAAGGGCAGGTGCACACCCGACACACGGAGGACCGGCAGTACCAGAGACCAGAGCGGCAGCGTAGTCAAGGTGGTGGCTAGCATCAAAGTTAGCGACAGTAGCGGCAAGCGCAGAGATAGTATCAAGAAGAGCAGTAGGGTTAGTGATAAGCGACGCAAGCAAGCGCGAGAGGGTAGGACATGCAGCGAGAGCAGCGTCAGAGCGAGGAGGGGGGAACGACGGGAGCGATGACGGGGGAGGCAATGGGAGGACTGTGACTGGAGGAGCACGTGAACGAAGAACCATAGGGTGGACACTAGGATGAGGAGAGACTGGACGAGCACCACATGGGCGACGGACCCAGTGGGGAAGAACGAGGAACTGGGGACGAGGGGGAACGGGGGACAAGTCAGGGGATGGAGGGGAGCACGGGGGAAAACAAACCGGAGAGGAGTCCGGAGGAGGGAACAACGGGCCGTAAATAGGGTCACGCATCGAAGGGGGAACAGGCGGGCGGACATGGGAGCCTAGAGCAAGACCAATGTGACAAAGGGCAGACTGTGGCTGCTCCTGCTGCGGCGGCTGAGCCTGCTGCTGCGCTTGCTGCTACTGCTGCGACTGCCACTGCTCCCTGTCCTCTCCAGAACTTTCAGCGGCACCACGGCTGCCACCAGCACCCCCAAGACTAGCGACCTCGGACTCACCACCCATAAAAGCAGCACCCCCAGAATCGAAAGCCCCAGAACTCGCACCCCCAGAACCAACACCCCCAACACCAACACCGCCAACACTAGCACCCTCAGAACCAGCACCCCTAGAACCCCCTGCTCCCTGCTGCGGCCGCTAAGGCTGCTCTGGCGGCTGCTGCTGCTACTGAGGCAAGGGGGGGGGTTGGCTGAGGTGACTAATGTACCAAGGCTGGGGAAGGCGCCGCAGGGACAGCAGGCGCGCCCCTAGCAACTGGGCCCCCATGGTCAGCCGACTCTCCCACAGGCGCAACCGAGGGGAACTGAGTGGCGTGGGAGACACCAGACTGGGTCGGGCGGGGCGGGAGGGGTGCGGCAGGTGGGGCAAGGACAAGGAAGAGAGGAGGAGGAGGTCAAGCGAAAACCCGAAGAATACACAAGGAAGGGTGCACGCTGAGAGCTTTTCCACGGTAGTGTCACGGACGTAAGCAAGGCTGCCCCTGACGTGGAACACAGACGCGTCACCAGGAGACCTGGTCCAGAGGAGGTTCGGCGAAACCTGTGGCCGCTGGGAGTGCGGCCACAGGTTAAGATGATGAGCAGCGTAGTGCACTGCGAACGGCCACAAAAAATGGGGTGCACCGCCGTGGATCATGGAGGTGCGACCTACCTCCATGATTAGGCCGATGCGTTGCTCAGCGACCCCATTTTGCTGTGGGGACCCCGGCAGTGTGTACGTCTGGCGGATGCCCTCCGCACGACAGAACCGTCCTAGAGTGCCAGATGCGAACTCGCCACCTCGGTCAGAGTGTAAGCGACCTACAGACAGACAATGGTGGGTGCGAATAGTGAGAAGCCATGGGAGGAGAACGGTAGGCACGTCGACCTTCCGCTCCAACGGGAACACTGTAGTGAACCGCGAGAAGTCGTCAACGACAACTAGGAAGTAGCGCTCCCGACTAAATCCATGGACCGGGGCAGAGCCCCAGACGTCCATGTTCAGTCTCTGTAGTGGCGCTGTGGTAGGAGGAAATGAGGAGGAGTGAGGAGCGGCGCGCTGCCGGCCCTCGACGCAGGAGGTGCACAATGGCGCTACTGACGGAGGCATGGCGGGGAACGACGCAGGGAGACCAGTGACTAGACCATGCTGGGACATGTGCCTAAGATGCGGGAGTGCAAGGTGACCTAAGCGGTGGTGCCACAGAAGGGCCGGGTGGGCTAGTGAGCGACAGGAGCAGGACAAGACGACCTCGGCAGATGCAGCAGCCGGCAGGGATTCAGTGTGCAGTGTAAAAAGACCTGACCTAGGGTCACGCTAAAAAGTGGCTAAGTGTCGACCAGTGGTTGTGACTGTGCAAGCGGCGTGTCTCTCGCAACTAAGGAATGTAGTGGTGACGACTCGGTCCTGGAGGTGACCGACACCCACTAGGTTCCTGTCAAACGAAGGGATGTGCAGACCGGTGAGGGAGCCGAAAGAGACAAATGGACAGGTGAGAGTGGTGGTACTACGTGCGACAGTTGTGGCGGAGTCTGCTAGTGCGATGCAGACAGGCGCATGAAGCGGGGTGAGAGCAGTACTGTCGCGAAAAGGGCACCGAGACGTGCCAGAGTCTAGGACAAATGAGAGGGCTGACGTGGCGGGGCCCAGTGAAGAGTCTCTAATACAGCAGGTCCTATGCCTGACACACCAGGGGAGTCTACGCCTGACGCAGCAGGGGATCCTAGACTACACACAGCAGTAGCTCCAAGGCTACAAACAGCAGGATAATATGATCCAGCAACACTAGAAGCATCAGAATACATCGAATACAATGCATGATCGATCTGACTCATATCCATATCAAAGATAGGAACCCGACGACGAAGCAAGACATGCCAGGGGGGTACCTGCACCAGCGGGCAGAACTGTTGACGGTAGAGGTCGCCCAGGCGACGGAAGCAGCGAGCGGCGATGTGCCCCGCGCGCCTGCACACCTGGCCCGCTTGCGCAAAATTGGAAGGCTACAGTGCGCGAGATTGAGAGAAGCGCACATGCGCGGAAAAAAAAAAAAAAAAAAAAAAAAAAAAAACTATTGTGATGTTTGTAGTGTGAGTAACGACGGAAGCGTGAGAAACGGCGAAAAGAAAAGGTCTAACTTAGCTCAATACCATGTTAGAGTAGCGGGAAAAGTATGCAAGGGAAAATCATCGATGGATACAAAACTAGGGCTATACTCACTAAGAACTAAACTAGCTAGGCTATAAACAAGTAGGATTTGTTTACACACGGACATGCAAATGCAAGCAGCTCCACCATAGACATGAAATCTCAGGCTTTCGAGCATCAATAAGAAAGGTTGGCTACGAACATTCAGAGATTGAAATGAAGAATTGAGACACTGATACGGACATTCAGGCTTTAATACGGACATTCAGGCTTTCATTCCAACCACCCAGCCACCCCACACACACATTTCATTCTTGGGATCCTCGTGCGCACCCTCACCACCAGATCCTTGACTTCAAATCAACTCAAGACCCACCCAATCACCACCCCAAGTCGCACTTGCATCAAGATCCACCCAATCAACCCGCTTACATAGCGAGGCTGTCTTCAGCAGTGCTTCACGCCTTGGGGTTCCTCGCGAGCATCCGCACCACATGATACAAGGTTTATTTCGTGATGTCTAAAAATTGACCCTTTTGTCACGTCACGTGAGCATGCGCACCACCAGATCCTTGGCCTTGTCTACAATAGACTCAGTAGTCACCGCGACGCAACATGCACGTAGTCTTCCGATGCACTTCCACAACCACCCAGGTTGGGTCACCCAGCCATCATCCAACGTACCAAGGATTTCGAGGTGACTTTAGAGTCGACTCAAAAGTGACCCAACCATCCATCCAACGTACCGAGGATTTCTTCAGCAGTGATTCGCTTCTTGGGGTTCCTCATCGTGAGAGCATGCACACCACCAGGTCTCCTCGGCCTTGTCAGAGATCACCTCCCACGGCGGGCGCACAAGGTTGAGCGTGGCTTACAGATCACTGACCTCCCACATACATACCGAGGATTTCATCAGCCGTAATCCTCTTCTTGGGGTTCCTCGTCAGCATGCGCACCACCAGGTCCTTCGCCTCGTCCGAAATCACCGGCCATGGCTGGCGCACCAGGTTGAGCGTGGCCTGCTTGATCACCTCAAAGATGGCATCGTTGGTGGTGCCCCAGAAGGGGGGGAGTCCAGATAGGAGGATGTAGAGCACCACCTCGGAGCTCCAGATGTCAGCCTCAGGGCCATACTTTTTAGCTAGTACTTCTGGGGCCAAGTAATAGGGGCTCCCTGCCATGTCAGTGCAGGGCTTGCCTGGAGCACGGGTAGAGGGGAAAGTGAGAGAGAGGGACACCGGGGAAATAGAAGGAGAGCAGGACAAGGGAAGAGGGAGGCTGAGCGTGGCCTGCTTGATCGCCTCAAAGATGGTGTCGTCCGTGGTGCCCCAGAAGGGGGGCACCCCGCACAGGAGAGCCCCCTGCACTCCACATGTCAGCCCCCCGGCCATACTTTTCAACAAGGACCTCTGGGGCGAGGTAGTAGGGCCTGCCTGCCAAGTCCATGCATGGCTTACCTGGTGGATGAGGGGGAGATGGGGGAGGGGAGAGTGAGTGGCGAGTACGATGAGGAATTATGTAGAGCACCACGCTTGCGCTGCAGACGTCAGCCTCAGAGCCGTACTTCCCCGCTACGACCTCAGGAGCGAGGTAGTAGCTGCTGCCTGCCATGTCAGTGCATGGGAAGCAAAGCAGCACCATTCTACCGGATCACCATTTCTGGAAGAGGTGACTTTGAGTCGACCCAAAAGTCACCTTTCTGGAAGAAGTTTGCGGCAACCCAGTCAATGACTGAGATAGATCGGTATCATTGTGATTCGACGACAGGAGCAGAATGTTCTTTTTGCGCCCTTAAAGCCCGAGTCTAGAATGGCACGCTATCAAGTTCAGGATTCCTGAACTTGCTTTCGTACAGTACAGGTAACCTATTTTAGGGGACCGTCAAGTTCGCAACCCTCGGGGAAAAGGGGTTGTTTGCGAAAACTGCTAGAAACGACAAACTAGGAACGCACTCTTCACTCATACTGAACATGAAAACGCCCTCAACCATTCTGAACGCATTTTTTTGGGAGACTCGAGACTAGAGACCATCACAGTACTGTTTGTCACTGTTTGCGCACTGTTTTTCGCCAGAGGTGCTTTGCCGAAATTTTCTTCGCTGTAATTTTTTGGCACTGTTTTCATGGTCAGGAAAGTTGGTTTTTTACCATTCTAGACTCGGGCTTTTATTGTGTGGAAATGTTGGCTGTAAAATTAGGTATACCTGCATGCACTGAGGTGGGTGCGGGGATTCGGGTTTGGGGTTTCATGGTAAAACAAGGGTGTGAATTAGACATGATTGCATGTGCTGGGGTGGGTGCAGGGACAGGGGTTTGGGGATTTAAGGTAAAAAAAGGTGCAGAGACTGGGCTCTGGGGTTTCACGTGAAAAGAGGGGCTGTAATTTAGACATGATGGCATTGCATGTGCCTCTTGACCTGCCTCTCCCCATCCCCTTCCCCCCCGTACCTCTGTTTTCCCGTGCCTCAGTTTCCCTTGCCTCATTTTTCCGTGCCTCATTTTCCGTGCCTAATTTCTCTCGTGCCTCGTTGTCACCATAGAAACTGGAGGCATGGTGGATGCCCCCTCCGACCACGGTTCGCTGGCTCGTCATCAGCAACTCTCAGGATCTCAAGACAGCTCTCAGGCTCAAATATCCTCACAAGGCACGTGTGGAGATGTTGGCTGCTCATTAGTCACTTGCTTAATTGACAGGTTGTGCTCTCGTGCATTATCCTCCTGCAACATGCTATTGTATCTGACCCCGCAACACACCCACTTCCTATTGTCTCGGGATTGTCGTTCCCACAAATGTTGCAGGTGGTTGTCTCGGACATTTGTCCCACGACATGCCAACACGCTAACATCCTTCCCAAATCCGCCAACTGCTGATAATGATCCTGCATTGTCCACCGCTGCAGCACAGGCTACTCACGATAGAGGAGCTTCTGCATACATAAATATTGTCGCAGAATGGCTCCTTCTAGCATCTACTGATGCTCTGGTTTTGTCGAAGTCTGGATTTTCTCATACTGCGGCGTTCTTCTCATATCGCCTAACTGCTGCTCATGTCCCAAGTCAATGCAACCCTGAGGTCCCTGTGGAAACGCATAGTTTAGGATGAATTTGGAGCGGAGTCTGATGTCCCATAACCCACTGCACCTTGTGGGTTTGGATTGTGTTGTTGTGCATCCTTTTGCTCATACCAAGGATTCTGTTTTGTTTTTGCTCACTATTCGTCATTCCAGCAGTGCACAAGGTTACAGCGTTGGTGGCAAAATAGGCTCTTTTGGAGCTCAAAATGCTTTGTTAGGTAGTTACAAGTTTGAAACTTGAAGGTTCCTCACCTAGCATGCGCTGTAGTATGTATCGGAGCATTCCATAAATACATAATAATGTTTTTGGCCGCGAACCATCCCTACAATTGAGGCACGGAACATCATTCTGTCTCGACTGTCTGAAGTCAGGGTCACAGCCACGCTGAGCCTGACTGGAAATTATCACGTCCAGGTCAGAGAAAATCCATATGTGGGGGCTGTCCAACCAAACCGCAACAGCCGCTGTAATTCCACGCGTGTAAGTACCAAACCCTGCGACTGCTTCGTCACACCCGCGCTGGCATTTGCAAAACAGATTATCATTTCAAGCGTGCCACGCAAGATTCTTAGTCGTGTGACTCATTTTTTTGCAGAGCTGGTCTCTTCTCCTCGTGTCACCGAATCGCGGGGCCCTTGAAAGCTGTGCATTTGATCACATACAGCGCACCGCCGACCAATTACCAGCCATCTCCAAGAATGGTGCATCTGAACGAGGCAGCGAATCGCGTGTGTTCTAATTGGCTGCACGCAAGACAGGGGGGCATATGCTTGGTCATCCATCTCCCTCACCTCCTTCCCTTCTGCTCCCCTCCCCCCGCCCTCTCTTCTCTTCTTCTCATCTCTCCCCCCTCCCCCACACCACCGTCCTCCTCTCCTCTCTTCCAAGACATACCTCCCCCCTTGCTGCTGCCAAGACATAACTCAAGCACGTTCTGGTCAGTAAAACTTGCTGCTGCCCCTCCTTCCCCCCTCCCTCCCCCCCCCAGCCACAACCCGAGGTCATTTCAGAAGTCCAAGCCATGTACCAGCGCTTGTTCTCGCCTCACTCCTCCTTCCCCCTTCCGCCCTCCCGCGAACTCATTCCCCTCCCCTGCCCCAACCCATACCCCACATGCTGCAACCCGAGGTAACTTCAAAGCTCCAAGCCATGTATGTACCAGCGCTTGTTCTCGCCTCGCTCCTCCTCCCATTGCTCTGAACGACACTGAGCACCAATTTTCCTCTCCCCTGTCCCCTGCCCCAAACCACCCCTGTCAGGCCGCAACCCGAGGTTGTCCCAAAGCTCCAAGCCATGCACCAGCGCTTGTTCTCGCCTCGTTCATCCTTCCGTGGGGATTCGAAAAGCCCATTGCTCTGACCGACCATGCGAACCATTTTTCTCTCCCTCTCTCTCTCGCTCCCACCCTCCCACCCTCCCACCCTCCCTCCCTCCCTCCCTCCCTCCCACCCTCCCTCCCTCCCTCCCACCCTCCCTCCCTCCCTCCCTCCCTCCCTCCCTCCCACCCTCCCTCCCTCCCTCCCTCCCTCCCTCCCTCCCTCCCTCCCTCCCTCCCTCCCTCCCTCCCTCCCTCCCTCCCTCCCTCCCTCCCTCCCTCCCACCCTCCCACCCTCCCTCCCTCCCTCCCTCCCTCCCTCCCTCCCACCCTCCCTCCCTCCCTCCCTCCCTCCCTCCATCCCTCCCTCCCTCCCTCCCTCCCTCCCTCCCTCCCTCCCTCCCTCCCTCCCTCCCTCCCTCCCTCCCTCCCTCCCTCCCTCCGACCCTCCCACCCTCCCTCCCTCCCTACCACCCTCCCTCCCTCCCTCCCTCCCTCCCTCCCTCCCTCCCTCCCTCCCTCCCTCCCTCCCTCCCTCCCTCCCTCCCTCCCTCCCTCCCTCCCTCCCTCCCTCCCTCCCTCCCTCCCTCCCTCCATTTTTCTCCCCTCCGCACCCTGCCTCAACACCCCTCCTTCAGGCCGCAACTCGACGTCATCTCAAAGGTCGAAGCCATCACCGCTTGTTCTCGCCTCGCTCCTCCGCCTCCCCTCCGTCCCCATTTCCACTGGGCAGTCCCATGTTCTCCTACGGGCTCTCAAGCGCCCCCAATGGCTTGTCGAGCCATGGTAGGGTGGCGGCGATGGGGATCCACATGAGAGCCAACGACACGTTTGTGTAGCAGGGGCGGTGGGGGTTTGGAGAGCCCAAGGTGCTGAACCAGACTGAACATGATTCCTCCCCTCCCTAACTTACTCCCATCTCCGTCCTTGCCCCTCCCTACAACCCACTTCCCCCCCACACCCCCCACCCCTCTCTTCCCCATCAGGCCGCAACCCGAGGTCATTTCAAAGGTCGAGGACATGTACCACCACTTGTTCTCGCCTTTCTCCTCCCCTCCGTCCCCATTTCCCCTGGGGGGTCCCATGTTTTCCTACGGGCTCTCAAGCGCCCCCCACGACTCCTCGAGCCATGGTAGGGTGGCGGCGATGGGGATCCACATGAGAGCCAACGACACATTTGTGTGGCAGGGGCGGTGGGGGTTTGGAGAGCCCAAGGTGCTGAACGACACTGAGAGGAGCATGCTCATGGCGTGGGCTGAAGACTACCTTGCATGCGCAGAGGTGGGTGCTGGGCTCGGGGCTCAGGCTTTCCTGTCTGGAAATTAGGTTTGACTGCATGCTCTGAGATGGGAGCGGAAGGTGCAAGCGACACAGCATGCGTGCACGGACGTGGGGGTTTGGAGAGCCCAAGGTGCTGAACGACACTGAGAGGAGCATTCTCATGGCGTGGGCTGAAGACTACCTTGCATGTGCCGAGGTGGGTGCTGGGATGGGATCAGGGTTGGGGGTTTAACTGTGGAAATGTTGGATGTGAAATACGTATACTTGCATGCGCTGAGGTGGGTGCGGGGATTAATCTAAAGCCAGAGTATGCATTTAGGTTGAGAATGTCAAATTCTAAAGATTTGAAAATCAGCAACCCCATAGACCTGCCAGGCTTCTCTCGCTCTCGCCGGGGCTCCTGTGATTTACGACAAACAACGGGACGTAGATTGTAGACTGATTGTTTCGTCCCCTCGATTTCGATCACCAGAGGTGCTTCTTAAAGTAAGAACTGAATGAATAGACTAGTAGGAGAAACTTAGAACAAATACTAGTTGGTTGTACTCACTAGCAGCATACCTCAATCTAGCCTATAACTTCTACATAGCTAATATGTAAAAGTTGACACACCCCTAGGCTAGACAAGGGGTGAAGCTAAGCAAGAAGCAAACAGCTCAGGGTGGCACTACTAGTCCAACCACTGAGGTAGGGGTCTGGAGACCAGTCAGCAAGAGTACAAACAAGACTAAAGCAAGCCAGGGCGGCACTACTAGTCCAGCCACTGGAGGTAAGGCCACACGGCCAGTCTGACAGGTATATATAATAGAGAGTACACAATCAGGATCCTAACAGGTGAGTAGCTACAGGAACAAGACCAAGCTGTACACAGTCCCGCTAATGATCTTTAGGCACAAGCGCCTTAGTAAAGATATCAGTTGTGTTGGCACCTGAGGCCAAGTGAACTACGCGGGCCTGGCGGCGTTGGTGTAACTCGCGCAGGAGGAAGTACCACAGCTGGATATGCTTTGCTCTGCCCTCAAGCAGAGGCTCCTAACACAAGAGTATCATGGCCCTGTTGTCAGCGTACAGGACCGGGGCAGAGCTAGGCCGCTCATCTAAGTCTGTGAGCAAAAAGGTCAGCCAGTGGAGCTCCTGTGCCGCCATGGCACCAGCGTAGATCTCAGCCTCACAGCTGGACTGAGCCACAAACGACGAGCGAGTGGATCTCCAAGAGATAGCACCCGAACCAAGGCTAAAACAGTAGCCCTGCGACGACCTGAGCGTCTCAGAGTCGTCTGCCCAAGAAGCGTCTGTGTGCCCAGTAAGGACCACTGGCCTGCGTCCTCCTAGCACTAACCCCATGCCCGATGTACTAGCAAGATAACGCAAAGCCCTCTTAGCGGCAGACCAGTGCTGAGGTCGGTGTCTGCCTGTAGCCACAAAGCGAGCCAAGATGCTGAGAGGGTATGCGAGATCTGGGCGAGTGCAAGTCATCAGGTACATGAGGCAACCCACCAGCTCTGCGTAGGGGCCACTGGGCTCTACTGGCTCCTCAGGAACGGGAGCGGAGAGCCCATGGTCTACAGGTAGAGGTGCGGAGGAGAACTGAAGACCGAACCTCTGAAGGACCTGACGCACCAAGTGTGACTGTGTCAGAACGATGGTGCGTGCTGCTCTGTCCCTAGAGATCCGCAGGCCAAGATAGCGACGCAGCTCTCCAAGGTCAGTGCAGGTGTGTTTCTCCAGCAGCTCGGCCTTCACAGAGGCCAGTGCGTCCCTGTCAGCAGTAGCCAAGACCAGGTCGTCTACGTAGACAAGGATGTAGAACGGAGTCTGGCCGGAACGCACAAACAGTGAGGGGTCAGCAGAGGACGGAAAGAACTGCAGGTCTGCTAACGTGGTACGCAGTGTGTCGTGCCACTCACGGAGAGCTTGACGCAAGCCGTAGACCGGGCGCCTGAGAAGCCACTGGGTCCCAGGGGGGAAGGTACCAGTGAAGCCCTGTGGTCGACGTAGGTAGACCTGCTCGTGTAGGCTGCCCTGAAGAAAGGCAGTAGAGAAGTCGAGGGAGTGAAGCTCGTAGTCGCGCTGTGCTGCTACATGTAGCAGCGCCCGAAGAGTGGTCATCTTCGGGGTCGGAGCGAATGTCTGGAGGAAGTCAACCCCCTCGCGCTGGCTGAAGCTTCTGGCCACGTAGCGCACCTTGAAGACAGGCGGCTCTCCAGGGGGGCGCTTCACCTTGAAGAGCCACCGACCATCGACTACGTTCACCCCAGGCGGGGGAACTGCGTCGACGTAAGTGCCGGTGGACCTCCAAGATGCCATCTCCTGCTCCATGGCAGCTATCCACTGAGAGGCCCAACGTCCCGAGGTGGCCTCAGCGTAGGTGCGAGGGGTCGGGATGTCGAAGGCGTCTGGGTCACCCTCAGGGACTAACGGCATGGAGCAGAGATGGGGAGCAGCCTCGGAAAGGAAAGCAAGCTCGTACTGCCTGTCCTCTAGGACGTCACTGCCAAGGGCAGGAGCACCCCTGACGGACGGAGGACGGGCAGGGTTAGAGACCAGCGCAGCAGCGTAGTCAAGGCGGCGAGTAGAAGCAAAGTCAGCGACAGCAGCGACAAGCGCGTCAAGGCTCGAGACAGGAACAGAAGGGTCGGTAACAAGAGAGGCAAGGACCCGAGGGACAAGGGGACGAGCGGCACGGAGGTAGTCAGAGAACGGAGGAGGTGCAAAAGCAAGGGACGAGGGAGGAGGGGACGGGAGGAGGGGAGGACGAGACGAGCGGGAACGGAGCAACATAGGGTGGGAGCGCAGGACAGGAGAGACGGGACGAGCACGGGAGGGACAGCGAGACCAAACGTGGGACGGAGGTGTAGGGTCAGGGGACATCGGAGGGAACACAGGAGGGGAACGAGGAGGAAGACGGGCCGGAGACGAGTCCGGCGGCGGGAACACAGAACCGTAGACAGGAAGGTCAGCAGGCAGTGGGGGAGACACCGGCAAGCAGTCCGGGGAGGGAAGGCCGAGCAGGCGGAGAGCGGAGACCGGCGGCGACGGCTGTTGCGGCTGCTGCGACGACTGGGCCGGAACCCTCGGACCGGCAGAGGCAGGACGACCGTCGGCGGAACCCTCAACAGCAGCACCCCCAGAACCAACACCCCCAGAGCGAGAACCCCCTCCAACACCAGCGGCACCCCCAGGAGCCGCAGGACGAACACCCTCCTCCACACCAGCACCCCCAGGGGCCAAGAGCGGCAGCGACGGCAGCGGCGGCGATGGCAGCAGCGGCTGCGGCGGAGGCGGCGACTGCGACAGTGGAGGCGAAGACACCAGGGAAGGGGGACGCGGCAAGGACGGGCCGGGGGTACCACCAGAGTCAGCGGACTCCTCAACGGGGACAACCGACGGGAGGGGAGTGACGTGAGAGACACCAGACAGGGCAGGGCGAGGCGGGAGAGGAGCAGGGGCTACCGGGGGAGAGGGAGCAAGGAACAGGGGCGGGGCAACAGGGAGACCGCGGTGAGGGAAGCGGCGGTAGAAGGAGACAGACTCGTCAAAGGTGACGTCACGAGAGTGGAGGAAGCGGTGAGACGGCGGGTGGTAGAAAAGCCAGTCAGACGAGGCCAGGGGAAAACCGAGGAAGACACAGGGGACAGTGCGGGCAGTGAGCTTGTCCATGCCAGAGGCACGAACGTGAGCAAGGCAGCCCCAGAGGTGGTATGCAGACGCGTCACCCAGGGACCCGGTCCAAAGGAGGGTCAGCGAAACCTGCGGCTGCTGGGAGCGTGGCCACAAGTTAAGCTGGTGAGCAGCGTAGCGAATAGCGAACGGCCACTGAAAATGGGGGGCATCGGCATGAATCATGGAGGTACGGGCGACCTCCATGACCAAGCCGATGCGGCGCTCAGCAACCCCATTCTGCTGTCGCGAGTCCGGCAAGGTGTACGACTGGGTGATGCCCTCCGCACGACAGAACTGTCCAAGCCGACCAGAGGCGAACTCGCCACCACGGTCAGAGTGGAGACACAACACGGGGAGACCGCGGTGAAGACGCGCAGCCACAACCCACGGGAGAAGAACGTCGGGCACGTCGACCTTCCGATCCAGGGGAAACACCATGGTGTAGCGCGTGTAGTCGTCGACGAGCACAAGGAAGTAGCGCTCACCTCGCGGTCCGAGGACGGGGGCAGGGCCCCAAACGTCCTGGTGCAGGGTCTGAAGGGGGGCAGTAGCAGGGCGCAGTGAGGAGGAGTGAGGAGCACGGCGGAGCCGGCCCTCGACGCAAGGCGTGCACGGTGGCGCAGTCGAGGGAGGAAGGGCAGGGAGCGACGCAGGGAGACCTAAAACAAGACCGTGCTGGGACATGTGACGCAGACGTGGGAGAGCAGGGTGACCCAGGCGGTGGTGCCAGAGAAAGGACGGGTGAGTGAAGGACCGACACGAGCAAGCTGCAGCGACCTGGGAGGACGCACCAACCGGGGGGGAAGCGGTGTCGAAGGTAAACAGACCGGACACCGGGTCCCGGGGGAACGTCGCAAGGGGGGAACCTGAGACAGCCTTAGAACAGACAGCAAACCGCTCGTGTCCGGGGAACGTGGTGGTGACGCCGAGGTCCTGGAGACAGCCGACACCAACCAGGTTCCTCGAGAACGAGGGAACGTGGAGGCCTGTAAGGGAGCCCGAGGAAACTGCTGGACAGGGAAGGCACGTAGAACTGCGAGCGACGACAGGACCCGCAGAGGGGTCAGCGAGAGAGACAACAGCAGGCGTAGCAAGTGGCGTGAGCGCGGAACGGTTGCGGAAGAAGCAGGCAGTAGCACCGGAGTCGAGAGTGAAGGACAGCGAAGCTGTGGCGGAGGCCGGGAACGGAGCCGGTGCAGGGACTAGGCTAGGCAAACTAGGCAGTCCTACGCCTGACGTAGCAGGGGAGGCTAAGCTACACAAGGGTGCAACACCTAAACTAGAGTACACAGGGCAATAAGATCCAGCAACACTAGAAGCGTCATAATACAAGGCATGCAAAGCAGCACCTATCTGATCCATGTCTAGCTCAAAGATCGGCACGCCCTGGCGGAGCAGTATGTGCCAGTCGGGGAGGTCCGGGGCCGGGCCAAAGCGACGACGAAAGAGATCGTCAATACGGCGGAAATAGCGGGCGGTCGGGTGCGGGCGGTGGCACAGAGTGCCGCGAAGAGGCCCGGTCTGAAGCTGGTACTGGCAAGTGATAGCACGCGAGCCGCCGGTAGACACCGAGCTGCACGGGCCGCCACCACGGCCACTACCTCCGGAGGTGCCGGGCCAACCAGGCGGGAGACGGGCCCACGGCTGCGGCGACTGCTGCTGGGACGGCGGCTGATGCTGGGACCGCTCCTACTACGGCGGGGGCTGCTGCTCCTGCCCACCGGTCGTAGTCCCCTCAGGCGGACTACCGTCACCACCACCACTACCACCACCACCTGCGCCACCACCCCTACTTCCCTGGTGACCACGGCCACCGCGGCGCGAGCGCTACTGCGGGTGGACCGCAGCAGCCGTCTCGGTGAGAGGGGTCGCCGTGGCGACCGCAGCCGAAATGTCAGGGAACGTGCACTGGGAGGGGGCACAGCCGTGAAAGATAGAGACTGCCGGCGCACCGCTCAACTGAACGATAGTGCGCTGGCGAGTCTCAATCTCGGAGAGGGTGTCGACAAAGGCGGTGAGGGTGAGGTCACCCGGGTGCTGGCTAAGGAAGTGATCGCGAGCACTAGCGAGGCGGTCTGGCAGGCGCATGGCGATAAAATAGAGCATCATGCAAAAAGGGGGGGGGGCGCAGTGAGCTGGGCAGCAGTGCTGGCAGTGCGATAGCGGGTCTCTAGGGCACGAAGGTGAGTGGCAAAGTCTGCGACGGTAGGGAAGGCTGCAAGGTCTGGGAACAGCATCGGGAAGAGCAAGCGGCCAGCAGAAGCAGACGCGGGTGTGGAATAGCGAGCAATAACGGCGTCTAAGTAAGCTTTGGCCGTCTCAACAGTAGCAAAACGCGAGCGCTCAGACACAGGGAGGGCGTGGCTAATAGCAACCTGAGCGACTGCATCGCGGGAGTCCCAGACCACACAGGCAAGCGCAGCAGTAGAGAAGGTCTCACGGTCATCAGAGGAGGGGTCAGCAGGGAGGGGAGCAAGTGCGAGGGGGCGGGGGAGCAAGCCATCGACATGGACAACCAAAGAGTGGCCATCCTGGCGCTGACCTGTAAGGTGGCGGCGGAGATCGGAGAGCCAGGCGGCAAAGTCAACCGCATGGCCCTCGGCGTCTTGTCGGAGCACGAAGTCAGCCATCGTGCAGGGTCAGCGGCACAGCTCCACAGCTCCGCAGGGACACAGCGACTCAGGGACACGGCGACAGCACTCTCCAGCACGGCGGCCGCGAGGCGCCCCAGCGCTGGCGAGCATAATAGACGAAGCTCGAGGTGGCACGGCAGGCCGAGCAGGCACGAAGAGGGGCCGGGCGGGCAGTGGGAGAGGCCAGGCAGACGCGGCGGGGCCAGGCAGGCGCGGCGGGGCCAGGGAGGCGCGGCAGGGCGCGGCGTGCGCGGTAGGGCCAGGCAGGCGCGGCGGGGCCAGTCAGGCGCAGAGGGGCCAGGCAGGCGCGGCGGGGCTAGGCAGGCGCGGCGGGGCCAGGCAGGCGCGGAGGGGCCAGGCAGGCGCGGCGGGGCCAGGCAGGCGCGGCGGGGCCAGGCAGGCGCGGAGGGGCCAGGCAGGCGCGACGGGGCCAGGCAGGCCGCGACGGGGCCCGGCGGGCACGACGGGGCCAGGCAGGGCGCGACGGGGCCTAGGAGGCACGACGGGGCCCAGGAGGGGCGCGACGGGGCTAGGAGGCGCGGCGGGGCCCAGGAGGGGCGCGACGGAGCTAGGAGGCACGACGAGGCCCAGGAGGGGCGCGACGGGGCTAGGAGGCGCGATGGGGCCCAGGAGGGGCGCGACGGGGCTAGGAGGCGCTACGGGGCCCAGGAGGGGCCAACGGGGCCAGGCGGGCGCGACAGGGCCAGGCAGGGCGCGACGGGGCCTAGGAGGCACGACGGGGCCCAGGAGGGGCGCGACGGGGCTAGGCAGGCGCGGCGGGGCCAGGCAGGCGCGGAGGGGCCAGGCAGGCGCGGCGGGGCCAGGCAGGCGCGGCGGGGCCAGGCAGGCGCGGAGGGGCCAGGCAGGCGCGACGGGGCCAGGCAGGCCGCGACGGGGCCCGGCGGGCACGACGGGGCCAGGCAGGGCGCGACGGGGCCTAGGAGGCACGACGGGGCCCAGGAGGGGCGCGACGGGGCTAGGAGGCGCGGCGGGGCCCAGGAGGGGCGCGACGGAGCTAGGAGGCACGACGAGGCCCAGGAGGGGCGCGACGGGGCTAGGAGGCGCGACGGGGCCCAGGAGGGGCGCGACGGGGCTAGGAGGCGCTACGGGGCCCAAGAGGGGCGCGATGGGGCCAGGCGGGCGCGACAGGGCCAGGCAGGGCGCGACGGGGCCTAGGAGGCACGACGGGGCCCAGGAGGGGCGCGACGGGGCTAGGAGGCGCGGCGGGGCCCAGGAGGGGCGCGACGGGGCTAGGAGGCGCGGCGGGGCCCAAGAGGGGCGCGACGGGGCTAGGAGGCGCGACGGGGCCCAGGGGGGAAGCGGCGGGGCCTAGCTAGGGTACGGGCAGAAGCGGTAGGTGGGGGATTCTAACCTACGCGTGACACCATGTTAAAGTAAGAACTGAATGAATGGACTAGTAGGAGAAACCTATAACAGTTACTAGTTGGTTGTACTCACTAGAAGCATACCTCAGTCTAGCCTATAACTTCTACATATCTAATATGTATAAGTTGACAGTGCTTTCCCGAAATTTTCTTCGCAGGAATTTTTTGGCACTGTTTTCATGGTCAGGGAAGTTGGCTTTTTACCATTCTAGACATGGGCTTTAATTGTGTAGAAATGTTGGCTGTAAAATTAGGTATACCTGCATGCACTGAGGTGGGTGCGGGGATTCGGGTTTGGGTTTTCATGGTAAAACAAGGGTGTGAATTAGACATGATTGCATGTGCTGAGGTGGGTGCAGGGACAGGGGTTTGGGGATTTAAGGTAAAAAAAGGTGCAGAGACTGGGCTCTGGGGTTTCACGTGAAAAGAGGGGCTGTTAATTTAGACATGATAGCATTGCATGTGCTTGACCTGCCTCTCCACATCCCCTTCCCCCCCGTACCTCTGTTTTCCCGTGCCTCAGTTTCCCTTGCCTCATTTTTCCGTGCCTCATTTTCCGTGCCTAATTTCTCTCGTACCTCGTTGTCACCATAGAAACTGGAGGCATGATGGGTGCCCCCTCCGACCACGGTTCGCTGGCTCGTCATCAGCAACTCTCAGGATCTCAAGACAGCTCTCAGGCTCAAATATCCTCACAAGGCACGTGTGGAGATGTTGGCTGCTCATTAGTCACTTGCTTAATTGACAGGTTGTGCTCTCGTGCATTATCCTTCTGCAACATGCTATTGTATCTGACCCCGCAACACACCCACTTCCTATTGTTTCGGGATTGTCATTCCCACAAATGTTGCAGGTGGTTGTCTCGGACATTGTCCCACTACATGCCAACACTCTAACATCCTTCCCAAATCCGCCAACTGCTGATAATGATCCTGCATTGTCCACCGCTGCAGCACAGGCTACTCACGATAGAGGAGCTTCTGCATACATAAATATTGTCGTAGAATGGCTCCTTCTAGCATCTACTGATGCTCTGGTTTTGTCGAAGTCTGGATTTTCTCATACTGCGGCGTTCTTCTCATATCGCCTAACTGCTGCTCATGTCCCAAGTCAATGCAACCCTGAGGTCCCTGTGGAAACGCGTAGTTTAGGACGAATTTGGAGCGGAGTCTGATGTCCTATAACCCACTGCACCTTGTGGATTTGGATTGTGTTGTTGTGCATCCTTTTGCTCATACCAAGGATTCTCTTTTGTTTTTGCTCGCTGTTCGTCATTCCAGCAGTGCACAAGGTCACAGCGTTGGTGGCAAAATAGGCTCTTTTGGAGCTTTAAAATGCTTTGTTAGGTAGTTACAAGTTTGAAACTTGAAGGTTTCTCACCTAGCATGCGCTGTAGTATGTATCGGAGCATTCCATAAATACATAATAATGTTTTTGGCCACGAACCATCCCTACAATTGAGGCACGGAACATCATTCTGGCTGTGTTCTACAGGCATTTGACGTCGACGTCGACGTCGACATTGAGGAAGCTCCTCAAGCGACTTCTAGAGCACTGGTTACCATTCAAACCAGGTGCACTTTCCAAACCTCTCTTGGAAGCAACGCGCCAAACTGTGGAAAGCGCGAGCGAAAGGAGAGAGGAGCCAAATTGAGGCTGATGTAACGCCACACGCAAGGTGAACTCCACGATGTAGCGAGCGTCAGCATTGCGTCACCTTTGCGTCAAATTTGCCAGGGAGGGAAGCGAGGGGGGTGTTTCCCTGACGTAGATGTCATCTGTACATGGACCTGTTCTGCAGGCATGTTGATGTAACTAGGTTCGGGTACCTTGTGCCAGGTTTGGACGAAATTTTGCGAGCTGACCCTCGATCCGAAGCAAAAAATCAGACTTTCGGAAGGTGCCCTGATGTAATCTGCACTTTCCTTTTCTGCCTGCAGAACGCAGCCTCTGTCTCGACTGTCTGAAGTCAGGGTCACAGCCACGCTGAGCCTGACTGGAAATTATCACGTCCAGGTCAGAGGAAATCCATATGTGGGGGTTGTCCAACCAAACCGCAACAGCCGCTGTAATTCCACGCGTGTAAGTACCAAACCGCGCGACTGCTTCGTCACACCCGCGCTGGCATTTGCAAAACAGATTATCATTTCAAGCGTGCCACGCAAGATTCTTAGTCGTGTGACTCATTTTTTTGCAGAGCTGGTCTCTTCTGCTCGTGTCACCGAATCGCGGGGCCCTTGAAAGCTGTGCATTTGATCACATACAGCGCACCGCCGACCAGTCACCAGCCATCTCCAAGAATGGTGCATCTGAACGAGGCAGCGAATCGCGCGTGTTCTAATTGGCTGCACGCAAATCAGGAGGGCATATGCTTGGTCATCCATCTCCCTCACCTCCTTCCCTTCTGCTCCCCTCCCCCCGCCCTCTCTCCTCTTCTTCTCATCTCTCCCCCCTCCCCCACACCACCGTCCTCCTCTCCTCTCTTCCAAGACATACCTCCCCCCTTGCTCCAGCGCAGACTCCCCCACCGCTCCAGCTCAGTCCCCCCAGCAACCCCCCCAGCCAGAACACTTCCCTCTGACTTGGTATTCTCCACTCGGGACTGCTACTAACGAGCGTGGTCCCCACTTTATTTATATACATTCCCCCCCCCCCACATTTGTTTCATCCAACACCAACGGGTTAATTGCTTCTCGATTTCCTTCAGTCGCTCCTGCTGCTACTTTCAGCCAGGAGTTGCATTCCGCGGGTCAAGCTGAAACCATTTCAGCTTCTGCAAACTCGCATTGCTCTGCTCGCGTCAGAACAGCCTTGGGCTTTGTTCGTGCCGAGCAAGAAGCTCTGAGTCCCCGCTGGGCCTTGTGCTAGCCTCGTCGTAACGTAATCGCGTGACGACCTCTTTGTGGTCAATTCAGATCCTAAAATCATGTTGACAATCTTCCACAAGGGTGTGGCTCCTAGCCAACCCGCTCTCGACTGTGCTCTCGCTGACGCGGCGGATCCGAGTAAAGTTCACTCTGGGAGTGAGGCTCTCGGGGAGTTTCTGAAGAGCCATCCGTCAGCTACAGTGCTGCATTTCGACGACAACCTCGAGATTGCCTTAACAGGAGACGGTGGCAGGTAAGAATTTCAGCATTATAACTCTCCTAAATCAACTTGGTATGGAGTCATACTACGTGCATTTGGGCGAGCTCCAAGTCATCGTTCGTGCTTGCGTTCGCTATCGTTTTCGGTTTCTAACTCCACTTTTCCCCCTGTTTTCCTGCCTCCAGACAATTTGCTTCTTGCGACGACATCTTCTGCACCTTCATCGGCAATCTCGAGAACCTCGCGCAAATGCGGGTAGCGTACGGCCTCACCCGGTACCGAATCTCTGAGGCCGCGTTCGTGATCGAGGTGTACAAAACCCTCCGAGACCGAGCTCCGTGCACCGTTGAACACGCCCTCTCGGAGTTCCGGGGTCCGTTTTCGTTTGTCCTGTACGACCAGAAGCAGAAGAAGGTGTTTGTCGCTCAGGACGCGTATGGGAAGCGGCCGTTGTACTGGGGACTCTGCAAAGACTCGGTTCTGGCGATTGCTGATAAGAGTGACGCGCTGAGGAAGCACTGTGGACGCTCCTTCGCTCCCTTTCCCAAGGGTATGTCTCTATGTCTCTTATGTCTCTACGCCTTCGAAGTTCGCTCGTTTGATGCTGCGTAGCGGATGCTATTCCTCATGTTCATATTTCCCCATTTCGTGTGGATCGCTTCTTGTTTTACGCTGATCAGGTCTCTAACCGTGCTTCTTTGCCTCTTTCGCTCTTTTCTTCTCCCCCGCGTGCAGGTTGCTATTTCTCCACGGCTGCCGGGTTGAACAGTTACGAGCACCCGGACCGCATGCTGAAGGCGGTGCCGCACATCGACAGCCAAGGCCAGCTGTGCGGCTCCAACTTCGTGGTAGACCAGAAGATGCGCTACAGACAAATGTCGCAAGTGGGCAGCGAGTGCGATCTGACTGCCATCTAATCCGGGCTTTAATCGGGGCTTTAATCGGGGATTTGATCCAGGCTGGAATGCTGCTGGTGCTGGATCTATATATGCTTCGCCAGTGATTGGTTAAAGGGGCCATCCCGTAGGTTGAGGGTGCTATGGCTCATCTGGTGTGCGATTTTTAGGGAGCATTGTCTTCCCCAGCAGCACACCTTGTAAATCTGGAGTGTGTGTGATAAGTGTCTTTGCTTATTCAAGTACTGTACATGTGTCTTTCAGAAACCATGGAGGCATGCAGGTGTTCGTGAATCCCTACGATATGCTGAGAGAGCTGGCAAGCTCTGGTTTTGAGGACGAATGTGGAGAACAGTGCACAGAATAGATTAGCTGACGAAGAAAGCAGAGTGGCTAACTGCTACAACAAGTCTGGTAGGAAACTTGGTTGAATTAAATACCTGATGTGATGGTTTCTCCTAAATGCAACCCTGCCAGTATTTTCATACGAAATGTATGAAAAGCAACCTTTTCTACAGAGTGAGCGAGGAGTGAAAATGGCCAAGTTGAAATGCTGATAACACAAGACTAAAATTGACCAGCACAGCACAACTCATAAAACATTTTTTTGACATAGACCTCCCCTCCTGCCATCAGCTAGCAGCAACCCATAATGCTGCAGTACACAATAAGTCTCCATCATTTTGCCAAACCCACCATCAATTCTGAAACAGGAAGCATACGAGATCACGATATCTATCTGAATCCTCATGGCATCTTCTACCCTTCGCATCGCAAGCCGAAAGGATATGGGGTTTCACTTTCATGTGACCCTGGTTGCATGTACGGCTGTTGCTCGGGCAATCAGCCTTTGCTGACCCTCACCAGGACGCTTTTCTCCAGGCCTCATAATCCGGCAGCCAATGTATAGTCACAGACTCATGTTATGGTACGCTGGCCCGATAACAATTTTAACCATGGTCACCTGATAAACGTAGTCAGCTGATAACCACAGGCTCGCTAGTGCCTTCATCGAGTGGGCGTGGTCAGCTCAGCTGTTGTTGGCGCGAATCCAAGGATGATCTGAAATAATGGTTGGGATGGTGGCCATAATGGATGGCCAGGGATGGAATGTATGCACATTGTTGTAGATGAATATGCACATTGTTGTAGATGAATATGCACATTATTGCAGATGAATATGCACATTGTTGTCGATGAATGTGCACATTGTTGTAGATGGATATGCACACTGTTGTAGATGAATATGCACATTGTTGTAGATGAATATGCACATTGTTGTCGATGAATATGCACATTGTTGTAGATGAACATGCACATTGTTGTAGATGAATATGCACTCACATGGGGATGCACCACTTGGCTCAGAATGGAAGTGCACGCACACACATGCATGGTTACATTGTACATGCTCTTGCGTACATGTGTTCATGCATACTTGTGGCTATCCATTCACAAGCCTTAACATGCATTCGGCTACACACGGACATGCAAATGCAAGCAGGTGCTCCAGGATAGACATACAATCTCAGGCATTCGAGCATCAATAAGAGAGGTCATTGGTTATGAGCATTCAGAGATTGAAATGAAGAATTGAGACACTGATACGGACATACAGGCTTTGATACGGACATTCAGGCTTTAATACCAACGTTCAGGCTTTGATACGGACATTCAGGCTTTGACACCAACATTCAGGCTTTGATACCAACATTCAGGCTTTGATACCAACATTCAGGCTTTGATACCAACATTCAGGCTTTGATACCAACATTCAGGCTTTGACACCAACATTCAGGCTTTGACACCAACATTCAGGCTTTGACACCAACATTCAGGCTTTGATACCAACATTCAGGCTTTGATACCAACATTCAGGCTTTGATACCAACATTCAGGCTTTGACACCAACATTCAGGCTTTGACACCAACATTCAGGCTTTCATTCCAACCACCCAACCACCCCACACACACATGCATGCCAAGGAGTTCCTCCACGGTGATTCTTGGGATCCTCGTGAGCACCCTCACCACCTGATCCTTGACTTAGATCGCGTTCTGGAAGTTTGCCCATCCCCAAGTTTGCCTATCCGTCACAGTTTTGGGCAATTCTGTGGGCAAACTTCCTGAACGCCGAAGTTTGCCCATCCGACTTCACAACCTTGCGATCACTGTTGCGATCAACGAGTAGCAAAACGAAACACGAAATTGCTCGCATCAAATCCGGAGCCGCGCTTGCCAATCCCGTTACCCTGACCTGCGACGCGAAGTTGGGTCGCGGGCGTCAACGATGGCAGACAGCCACGCTGACGCGTCTGCCTGTCGACCACTCCATGAAATTTTCCAAAATTTTCCAAAAATTGCCCGTTTGTGTGGTTCGAATGTCTGGGCTCGCCTGCTTTATGGGCTAGCATCTCTTATGGGCTGGTGCTTTTCGGATGCTTGGGTTTCCACGAGGGTGGTGGGCTTTCCAGTTGCCCCCCGCCTTGTTTTTTCTGCCATGCGGGCAGTTGCGTGTTGTTCCCTTGAAGATCAGGCATCAAAACGTGCCGGAGTGGGACGCTACACTGCCAATTCCTGACGTTTGATGTGTTCGCACTTTGTCGTGGGCCCACGTCACATGCATTTTCGCCGGCTGAAAGCGGGATGGGCAAAGTTTGCATCGCATGCGCAAAGTTCTAATCGCGTGGGCAAAATTCTTGGATGGGCAAACTTCCAGAAAGCGATCTTAAAATCAACTCAAGACCCACCCAATCACCACCCCAAGTCCCACTTGCATCAAGACCCACCCAATCAACCCGCTTACATAGCGAGGCTTTCTTCAGCAGTGGTTCACCCCTTGGGATTCCTCGCGAGCATCCGCACCACGTGATAGAAGGTTTATTTCGTGATGTCCCAAAATTGACCCTTTTATCACGTCATGTGAGCATGCGCACCACCAGATCCTTGGCCTCCTTTTATCACGTCACGTGAGCATGCGCACCACCAGATCCTTGGCCTCCTTTTATCACGCCACGTGAGCATGCGCACCACCAGATCCTTGGCCTCCTTTTATCACGTCACGTGAGCATGCGCACCACCAGATCCTTGGCCTCGTCTACAATAGACTCAGTAGTCACCGCGACGCAACATGCACGTAGTCTTCCAACGCACTTCCACACCCACCCAGGCTGGGTCACCCAGCCATCATCCAACGTACCAAGGATTTCGAGGTGACTTTAGAGTCGACTCAAAAGTGACCCAGCCATCCATCCAACGTACCGAGGATTTCTTCAGCAGTGATTCGCTTCTTGGGGTTCCTCGTCGTGAGAGCATGCGCACCACCAGGTCTCCTTGGCCTTGTCAGAGATCACCTCCCACGGCGGGCGCACAAGGTTGAGCGTGGCTTACAGATCCCTGAGCTCCCACATACGTACCGAGGATTTCATCAGCCGTAATCCTCTTCTTGGGGTTCCTCGTCAGCATGCGCACCACCAGGTCCTTCGCCTCGTCCGAAATCACCGGCCATGGCTGGCGCACCAGGTTGAGCGTGGCCTGCTTGATCGCCTCAAAGATGGCGTCGTTGGTGGTGCCCCAGAAGGGGGGGAGTCCAGATAGGAGGATGTAGAGCACCACCCCGGCGCTCCAGATGTCAGCCTCAGGGCCATACTTCTCAGCTAGTACTTCTGGGGCCAAGTAATAGGGGCTCCCTGCCATGTCAGTGCAGGGCTTGCCTGGAGCACGGGTAGAGGGGAAAGTGAGAGAGAGGGACAACCAGAGAAATAGAGGGAGAGCAGGACAAGGGAAGAGGGAGGCTGAGCGTGGCCTGCTTGATCGCCTCAAAGATGGCGTCGTCCGTGGTGCCCCAGAAGGGGGGCACCCCGCACAGGAGAGCGCAAAGCACCACCCCTGCGCTCCACATGTCAGCCCCCCAGCCATACTTTTCAACAAGGACCTCTGGGGCGAGGTAGTAGGGCCTGCCTGCCAAGTCCATGCATGGCTTACCTGGTGGATTAGGGGGAGATGGGGGAGGGGAGAGTGAGTGGCGAGTACGATGAGAAATTATGTAGAGCACCACGCTTGCGCTGCAGGCGTCAGCCTCAGAGCCCTACTTCCCCGCTACGACCTCAGGAGCGAGGTAGTAGGCGCTGCCTGCCATGTCAGTGCACGGGAAGCAGAGCAGCACCCTTCTGCCAGATCACCTTTTCTGGAAGAGGTGACTTTGAGTCGACTCAAAAGTCACCTTTCTGGAAGAAGTTTGCGGCGCCCCAGTCAATGACTTTGGAGATAGATTGGTCTCATTGTGATTCGACGACAGGAGCAGAATGTTCTTTTTGCGCCCTAAGGCTTTCTGTTCGCCAGGTTTTTTGGTTTTTGAGATCGGTATCAGTGTGATTCGACAACATGGGGAGAGTATTGCTTTCAGCTTTCAGGTACCCGTGCGTGCATGATGCCCACCCCATGTTGTGGGATTCGACACGAGCAGAATGTTCTCGGGTTTTATGTCCTCGTGCATGATGCCAGCCCCATGGCAGGCAGTGCCTCAGCACCGACATCACCGTGTGTGCTGGGAGGGAGGCTGCAGCAACCAGGGCGTTCTTGGACAACCAGCAGCCGCCACAACCAGCAGCAGCCACAACCAGCAGCAGCCACAACCAGCAGCCGCCACAACCAGCAGTTGCCACAACCAGCAGCCGCCACAACCAGCAGCCGCCACAACCAGCAGCAGCCACAACCAGCAGCCGCCACAACCAGCAGCTGCCACAACCAGCAGTTGCCACAACCAGCAGCCGCCACAACCAGCAGCCGCCACAACCAGCAGCAGCCACAACCAGCAGCCGCCACAACCAGCAGCTGCCACAACCAGCAGTTGCCACAACCAGCAGCCGCCAAAACCAGCAATAACAGCCTCACCTTTCTGAAAGAAGGGTGCAACGCCCCAGTCGATCACTTGGAGATCCGTGTCGTTAAGTTTTGACACAAGCAGAAAGTTCTCAGGCTTGAAGTCCCCGTGCATGATGCCCGCCCCATGGCAGTGCCGCAGCACCGAGACCACCGCGTGGGGTGGGAGGGGCGCCGCAGCAGCAGAGGCTCACCTTTCTGGAACAAAGTAGGCACACCCCAGTCGATGAATTTCAGATCCGTGTCATCATTATGATTCGACACGAGAAGGATGTTCTCGGGAAGTCCCAGTACATGATGCCCACCTTCCCTGTGGCAGTGCGGCAGCACCAAGACCACTGTGTGTGCTGGGAGGGGGGCAGCAGCAGCCAGGGCTCACCTTTCTGGAAGAAAATTGCCACGTCCCAGTCGATGAATTTCATGTCCGTGTCACTGTGATTCGACACCAGAAGGATGTTCTCGGGCTTTAAGCCCCGGTGCATAATGCCCGCCCCCCCCCACGGCATGGCAGCACCGAGACCACCATGCGTGCTGGGAGACAGTAGCAACCAGGGCGTGCTGGGAGGCGAGAGTAGCCAGGGCTTACACCAGCCACCACAACAAGCAGCAGAGGCTCACCTTTCTGGAAGAAGGTTGCAACGCCCCAGTCAATAACCTTCAGGTCCGTGTCACTGTGGTTCGACACCAGAAGGATGTTCTCAGGCTTTAAGTCCCGGTGCATGATGCCCGCCCCATGGCAGTGCCGCAGCACCGAGACCACCGTGCGAACCACCCGCGCCGCGTCGCCTTCTGGGAACTTTCCCCTCAGCTTGATGCGGTCGAACAGCTCGCCGCCCTCACAGAGCTCCATGATCAGATGCACGTCCTGCAGTATGGGGAAGGGGGGGTGGGGTGGGGTGGGGTGGGGTAGGGTGGGGCGGGTGTATGCTTGCCATTGCACAGTTCCTGATGCAGTCAAACAGCTCTCCGCCCTCACACAGCTCCATGATCAGATGCACGTCCTGGGCGGGAGATGGGTGGGGAAGGGGGCGGGGGAGAGGAGGAGGGGGAACAGGGCATGCAAGGGGTAAAGGAATGGGTATGATTGCCCATGCACAGCTTGATGCGGTTCAAGAGCTCTCCTCCCTAAAACAGCTCCATGATCAGACGCATGTCCTGCAGTATGGGAGAAGAGGGGTGGGGCGGGTGGGTGTATGCTTGCCCCGCGCGCAGCTCCTGATGCCGATCGCCCCCCTCGCACAGCTCCATGGTCAAATGCACATCACGTTTGGGGAGGGGGAGAGAGGGGAGGGGAGGGGGGGGTGGGGTGGGGGTTTGTATTGAGTTCTAGTCTTTGACTTGCAGTCAACAGAGAAAGTTTTTGCGTCCAGCATAATTCGTTCAAATGGCTCACAGCCCCCACAGTCAGGCTAGGCATTCTCAGCGGACGGGCCGGGGGTGGGCTGGCCCCGCCCAAGCCCGGCAACAGGGCTCGGGCCCCAATAGACCCCGGGCCGTTCGACGGGGTTGGCCGGCCCAGCCCATGGCCCGCACGGACCGATGACGAGGTCGGATTCGGGCCCAAAGGGAAGCCCAAGGGCGGGCCTACCCCGGCCCGCCATGTACCCACGGCCCACGGGCCGGCCTAGGATCCGGCCCAGCCCGAGCAGGCCCGAACTGAGCCTGCCTCGGACCGGCCCGGCCTGTGCAGGTCAGGTCGGCCCGAGGCCCGACCTGTGAACATGCCTAAATCAGGCTGCATATATGTATGTGTGTGTGGGTGTGGGTGTGTGTGTGTGTGTGTGTGTGTGTGTGTGGGTGTGGGTGTGGGTGTGGGTGTGGGTGTGTGTGTGTGTGTGTGTGTGTGTGTGTGTGTGTGTGTGTGTGTGTGTGTGTGTGTGTGTGTGGGTGTGGGTGTGGGTGTGGGTGTGGGTGTGTGTGTGTGTGTGTGTGTGTGTGTGTGTGTGTGTGTGTGGGTGTGGGTGTGGGTGTGGGTGTGTGTGTGTGTGTTTGTGTGTGTGTGTGTGTGTGTGTGTATATCTAATACCTGTGCATCATGAAACGTGCTGTAGTTGAATTATAAATATATATATATGTATATGTATATATATACATATACAACCTACAACACAAGAGAAGAATATACCTGAGCATCCTCAAATGCAGCCGTAAGGTTGACAATGTTGGGGTGACCTCTCAGCATCTCCATCACCGCCACCATCACCAGCACCCCAACCACCCCAACAGCAGCCAACCAGTCACCCAAGCAGCACCCAACAAGTTAGCATCCATCCTCCCCTCTTCACCTGAGCATCCTCAAACGCGGCTATGAGGCTGACAATGTTGGGATGACACCTCAGCATCTCCATCACCGCCACCATCGCCATCACACCCAGCATCACAATAGTTTAGGTGAACGTTCCCCTGAGCCCCGTTCCCCTCAGCCCCGTTCCCCCTCCCCTCTTCACCTGCGCATCCTCAAACGCGGCTGTGAGGTTGACAACGCTGGGATGGCCTCTCAGCATCTCCATCACCGCCACCTCCCTGCGCACGTCCTCTATGTCCTGCTGGCACTGCAGAGGGGGAAGGTGGGAGCGGCGGGGGTAGGCAGGGGAAAATGGCAAGGGGAAGAGGGGGATCGAGCATCAATCTCAGCATCTCCATCACCGCCATGTTTTTGAGACGCCTCAAAAGCACCGCCACCTCCCTGCGCACGTCCTCTGAGTCCTGCTGGCACTGCAGAGGGGGAAGGAAGACAGCGGTGAAGAGCGGTGGGGAAGGGAAAGAGAGGAGTGAGCATGAGTCCGCATCACCGCCACCTCCTTGCGCACGTCCTCTGAGTCCTGCTGGCACTGCAGAGGGGGAAGGGGGGAGAGGCATGCTCTTGCCGATAGACTTGCACTCGAATCTCTCCTCCAACAGGGGAGTTTTGAGTCGACTCAAAAATGACCCGCACCCCCACATTCAGATACCCCTAGACGCACAGAGCCCTAGCCTAGTCTACACAACATACCTGCAGCATGCCCTAGCTTATCGACTTGCACGCGAATCGCTCCTCCAGCAGGCGGCACAGGGACGCCCGCACCACCCCCACATTCGTGCGGCATCCCCACCCTCTCCTTCCCAAACTGCGTACCTGCGGCATGCTCTTGCTGATCGACTTGCACGCGAGTCGCCCGTCCCACAGGGGCCCATTACCCCCGATGCCACCCCCCCATTCAGATTGGTTTTGAGGCGTTGATTTTGCAGGGTGTTTTTGAGAATTCTCAAAAACACCCTGCAAAATTCTCAAAGCCACATTCAGATACCCCTAGACGCACAGAGCCTAGTTTTGAGGCGCCTCAAAACCGGTGCCACCCCCACATTCAGATACCCCTGCACGCACAGACCCCTAGCCCAGTCTACATACCATACCTGCAGTATGCCCTTGCTTATAGACTTGCACGCTTCTATTGACGCACATACCTGCAGGCTGCAGCATCCCCACCCACTCCTTCCCACACAGCGTATCTGCAGCATGCTGTTGCTGATCGACTTGCTCCCAGATCGCTCCTCCCACAGGGGGCACAGGGACGCTCTGACAACCTCAGGACGCCCGTACCACCCCCGCATTCACATACCCCTAGACGCACAGAGCCTCAGCCCGGTCTGCGTACCTGCAGCATGCTCTTGCTGGTCGACTTGCACGCGAATCGGTCTCCCGACATGCAGAAGGCACACGCTCTGACCACATTCCCCCCACAGTCACACATGCATTGCCCCAGAACCCCCACCAAGCCCCCTCCTCAATCCACGTACCTGCAGCATGCTCTTGCTTATCGACTTGCACGCGAATCGGTCCCCCGACACGCGGCACAGACACCCTCGGATGACCCCAAACCTGCCTCGCCCCAGCTCGTTCTTATCCAGCTTATACGCCTCCTTCACATCCGCAAACGGCCGCTTCAATATATTCACACTCCCCCCTTTATCCACACTCCCTCCCCCACCCCCCCCTGCCCCTCCCACTCCCCCTCCCCCCCCTCCCCCTCCCGCTGCTGCGGCTTCCTTCCTCGCGGCTCTGATGACCTCTCGGTTCTTTCTGGTGAGTCTCGCCTGGAGCCCCTCTGGGGTTACTGGCCTAGCCCCTGGGGAGGGTTGCGGCACCACTGCTACAGTGTTCCCCTGCGCTGCCGCTGCTGCCGCCGCTTTGTCCACATCTGGGGTTTTCGGGCGGCTGGAAAACACCGAGAAGATTCCTCTCCGGGCAGATTTCTTCTCCTCCACTGCAACCCTGTCCACGGGCAGCTTTAAAGCCGCCACGTCAGCGACTAATCTTTCCTTCTCGATCGCCCTCCTCTCCTTATCCGTCCTCTTCCTATCATCCTTCTCCTTAACTTCTCTCTCCATCCTCTTTAGCTCCTCCTGTAACTTCCTCCTCTCCTCCCTCTCTCGCTCTAACTCCATAGCCAACCTCCTATGCTCCTCCTTCATATTATTTTCCCCCACCCCGTCGTACCTCCCCCCCCCTCTCTCCTCTCCCCCGGATTCCTCCCTCCTGCGCCCATACCCATGGGAGGTATAGGGCCTGTCCTGGTTCCCGTACCCCCCGCCATCACCGCTCCAGCCCCTATCATCCTCGTAGTCTCTAGAGACTGAATTAGAGCGCAGGCTTCCGCTAGGGGACCGCAGCGGGCCCCTGCGCCCGCCGCCCCCTCCCCCTGCGCCTCCCCCCAAGTCCTCAGGCATCACTTCTGACGCGGAGCGGGGGACTGTGCGCCTTCCGCCCTCCCCCCGGTCCCGCTCTTTCAAGGATCCCCCCGGCCCCGCGAGCGCGGCTTCCGCGGTCGACATGCTCCGCGGGACGCCCGCCCGCGCATGCGCGGCGTTCACGTCCGCCGTCCGCGGGCGTCTCATGCCCTCCGCCGTCCCCGGCCGCGCAAGCAGCTCCGCTCCGGACGGCGTGCGCGGGCGCAACTCCGCTCCGCCCTCTCCCAAGCTGCGCCGCCCGAAGCTCCGCGCGCGCCCGCTCAACGACGGGTCAAGGCTCCCCGGCCCTCCGCGGGAGGGCGGGCGGCCGGCGGAATAACCCCCCCCGTCCTGCGCCTCCCCCACCGTCCTCAGGTGCGACCTCCCCGAAGTGGTCGCCTCGTCCGGGTGCCTTCCCCCGCTGCGCGACGCCGACCGGGGGGGGGGCGTACGTGGGGACGCCTCATACCCCCCTCCCCCGTCCCGATCACGCGCACTTCCGCGCCTTCCCCCGCCTGACCTCTCCTCATAATCCCCCTCGCCCCCGTACTCATCGCGACGAGAGCCCCCCCGGCGGCGACTGGAGGACGAAGACGAGTCCTTACCTGGGGAGTCTATAGTATCGCCTAGCTCTCCGCCTTCTAACTCGCACAATGAGTCCTCGACCCAGCGGCTCACGGCGCGCTCCTTAGACGGAGACATTAGGGGTAGGTCCCCTTCCGCGTCGCCCTCCGCTAGGTACCTAACCCTATCCCGCTCCCTAAAACTGCTCCCGCGGTCTCGTAACTCACGCTCTCGGTCTCTATATCCCCCTCTTTCCCTGTCCCTGTCTCTGTCTCGGTCTGCTTCGCGGACAGCCGCTCCGGAATTGGAGAGATTAATCTTCGCCGATTGCGACTTGTGAAAGGCGCGGCGCGGCGGCGACCCCTGACCGCGATACCCGGCGGAATAAGATCCCGAGGATGGCAACCCGGGGGGCTCATCCCCATATCCCCTCCGCCGCCGCCTTTGGTACTCGCGCTGCCGACTAATCTCCGCGGCGGCCACTCCCCGCTCGTCCCGCTGACGCCGTCATCGTCGTCGGGTGACGGGCCGTGACGGGACGGCATCCGCCGGCCGCCGCTAGTTGCCGGCCGCTGCGGCGGCGCCCCTGACGACGACAACGAAGACGGCAGCCAATCCGGCACGCGGCTGCTGCCGCTCCGCGGGCTGATCAGACTGCCGTCCTCCGGCCGCTTCGGCCGGCGGCCGCCGGACGTCGCCGGCCGGCACGGCGGCGTTTCGTCGCTGCTGCCATTGCTGCCCCGCGAGCGGTCTCGGGATAAAGTACCGTTCCCTGCCCTGCTACCGCTGCCTCCCCCCATTCCGCCCCCTGCTCCCCCGCCTGTGTCATCCTCCCACCCGTCGTCGCGTCCCCGTCCTCGCCGCTCGTCCCGCCGCTCGTCCCGCCGCTCGTCCCGCCGCTCGTCCCGCCGCTCGTCCCGCCGCTCGTCCCGCCGCTCGTCCCGCCGCTCGTCCCGCATCATGCGGGAATGCTGACTGGACGACGCGTGGCTGCTGGAGTCGTTGCTAGTGAGGCTCCTAGAGGATCCCCCTCCTCCTCCGCTTCCTTCCCCCCCTCTCAGGATGGTTCTGGGGGATTGCGCGCTGCCGGGGAGTTTTTTCCGCGGGCTCAGGAGGTTGCCGCCGCTGTCACGCGTCGCCGTCTCGTTGGCCGTTACCTTACCTACTCCACCGACATTGTTGCCGGCTAGGCGGTCGGAGCCTCCTCCCATGCCAGCGCCTTCATGATCGGCTGTGGCTGCAGAGAGCTAGCGAGATGGTGCCACGGAAGGCGGTGATTAACGGATGAGTGATTTTTGAATTCGTGGATAGGCTGTAGATAAATCAAGCGACTATCAGCGGGAAACAACGCTTAAAATAGCGCATTATCCCTTAACTCTCAACTTGTGCACTTTAGCTGTCCGTTTCGTCCTGCATCTAGGGATTAGGCTGCACAAAAATGCAGCCCAGCGTCTCTGCGCCTTCACCCTAGAATAACTGACAACGCGTAATGTATAAGACCTTGATTAACGACTTCCGGTGACATATAGGCTGCCGAGATTCAGGCTCAGCGTGGGATGCGATGCGAAAACCCTACAATGAAGCAGGTGCCTACTAGTGTTGTTTCAGGCAATAAGGCAGGTGAAACTGGTAGTGATGGATAAACAGTTCACTGTGAGTTTTGTGATTGGGACCAAAATGGTGGATGTGGATGGAGTTAGGTCAAGAGAGCTCTCAATCACCCAACTCAGCCGTTGTAGATACTACACAGAACATTTTGGAACAAAACGCACCTTACACAACCGTAATAAGCGAGCGGAAAGTGAGCTTGTACGATGCCCTTGCAGTACTGTATCACGAAGGCAAGCAAGATGTGGATTGGTTCGGATGGCTGAGTCAGGAGGAGTGCTGGAAGTTCCGTGGCTGGAGAGAGGCTCGTCGAGAGGTCAGATTCGAGGGTAGGTCTGGTTGGGTAATCTCGAGGTTGCTGGCAACCACGAGGTCCGGCATGGCGGCAGAAGCAAGGTCCGGCTCTGGTTTGGAATGGGAGTGAGACTCTGGAATTAGGTTGAGGGGTAACTCGAGGTTTGGACAAGCAGGGGAGGCTGGCGATATCTGGCCGCGGCGCAGGCCATTGAATAATTGAGCTGCTCCGCTCGGCTCGGCATTTGCGCCAGCTTGGGTAACCGAAATATTCAATTCGGGGGTGCAGAGGAACTGTCCAACTTCGTTACTGGATGGCCCTCAAGTTTTCCGACAGCGGTCAAGAACCCGTCAAAATAACAGCTCAATAAATTACAACACTTACTGAAGGATGCAATCTTAATTCAATTGTCCCCACTACTACAGCAAAAACAGGGCCACTTAGGTACCCCCCTCTCGCCCGGCCCCCCCTTTTGAATAATCGTGCGTTACCTTAATGCAGCCTCCATGCAAGACAAGAATGTTAAACAAGCACCCACTTGTAGCCAGCATCCAATTGCATCCCTTCCAGTCCAGCACAAAACCTATCTCATGTATACTACTCTTCCTTAGGCCCATGCTCAAGACTACCGGGCCGGAGGCGGTGGAGGAGCGGGAGGAGGAGGGGAAGGCGAATCAGGAGGAGGGGCAGGAGGCACGGCCCCAGGAACGAGCAGCGACGAGTCCGGTATAAGGAAGTCCGATGTGATGTGCACGAGCGTCTGCACCAATATAGTAACATTCATCCCCGAACTTGTAATGTTACGTGGCTCCTGAACGTAGATAATATTCGGCCGAACGATGCTCACAGCAGGATACTCCATGGCGGGTTCCGGCAGCAGGCTCGTCGTCTCGTTGCACCCGGGCTCACGGTAAAACCTTTTGAAATACGGGCAGCGGGTCTTGATCAGCGTGACGGACGTATCCGTGAGCAGGGTCGGGTACGAACCTGATGATCGGTTCGTCAGTTCGGCGTAGGTCTGGATTCCAAACACCGCCTGGTAGCTCAGCAGAAGAGTCTCAACCGACGGGCCGTTGTCGGTGATAAGCTGTTTGACTGGTGCGGGGATGCGGGTGTGCGCGTCGTCGGTGGGAGCGAAGAGAGTGACGTTGGGGGATGTGGCGGTGGTGAGGAGCGCGATGAAGCCGGAGCGCTCGATCATGTCGGCCGTCTTGGTGCAGCCGAAGAGGCGCAGGCGGTCCATGATGGTGTTCTCAGCCGTCGGAGGGGGAGGGGCCGGAGGGGAGGGGATGGAGTGGCGTCCGCTGGAAAGGGGTTGAGAGGGGTGGGAGGCATGGGGGGAGGGGGGAAGGAAGAAGGGAAAGAGAGTAAAAAAAAGCAATGATAAGGTCTGAACTGAACTTGAGGGGGCGATGATGACTGAAAGGCAATGAAGCCCGAGCGCCCGACCATGTCTGCCGTCTTGGTGCAGCCGAGGAGGCGGAGAGGGGCGGAGAGGGGGCGGAGAGGGGGCGGAGAGGAGGCGGAGAGGGGGCGGAGAGGGTCCATGAGAGTGTCCTCAGCAGGAGGGGCCGGAGGGGGAGGAGAGGGATGGAGGGGAGGAGAGGGAGTGGCGTCAGCTGAAGAGGGGGCGAGGGGTAGGACAGGGGAAATGAGGCGAGGGGGAAAAGGTAAACAGACCAATAAACAACAAACGCTCGCATACAAACCCGCAGCAGGGGCGCGGCAGTAGGCGGTGGACGGGAGCCAGCTGTACTTTCACCAACGATTCAACACCTTCAAAACGCATCGCAGCAGCAGCAGCAGACAGGCGGAAGGGCACCAGCGTGAGCAGCACCAGCACCGTGTCTGGCGGAATGAGCACCCGGTTGACTTAACGTGGATTGACTTACCCGTTGGGAGGACAACGGACTGGCCCACAGCAGCAGACGCGGCAGAAGGGCGGCGCGGAAGCACGTTCACTAGCACAATCAACACTCGCAGGACTTACTCATTGGGAGGACCATGGTTTGGGCCGAAGCAGCAGAGGCGGCATACAGGCAGGAGCCTGCAGCACTTCTACTGGCGGAGTTAACACCCTTAGCACTCGCAGGACTTACTCATTGGGAGGACCATGGCTTGGGCCGAAGCAGCAGAGGCGGCGCGGAAGGGATTCGGCGCCACATCCAAAGCCGCAGCCGCAGCGGCAGCTGGGCGGAAGGGCGCCAGCAGCACTTTCACAGGCGGAATGAGCACCCGGTTGATCACATGGATGGTGATTCCATCCCCGCTAGTGGCATCCCCGCTAGTAGCAACCCCGGTACTGGCAGCTCCGCTATTAACATCAGACGCTACTACCCGTGCCACTCTACTCAGCAGCGGCACCATCGGCAGCGGTGAGAACGCCAGGGCTTTTCCTACCCGCTCCGCTTTAACGCTCCTCCCCTGTAGCAGAGTGTTATACAGCTCATACCCCTCGATCCCCGCCGTGGCTATAGCTACATCGAACTGCTTGGCGGAAGTCCGTCCACTTGGCAGGATGTGATAGGCCATGAGGTTCTTAAGAACCAGGTCCGCCTTAGGCCCCATCAGTAGCGCTTTAATAGGCAGCGGGAGGGTCCAGAACGCGAGATTCGTAGGCGCGAGCAGTGTAGCGGGGCCTGAGAGGGAGTGCAGTATCCTTGTAGCGGCGAGGTTCTTAGCGAGTACAGTGAGCCCTCGCTTCGCCAGCGCGTCTATGGCCTGCTGACGCGCGCTCAGTGCCAACTCGGGAAGCACGCGCCTGGAGCCCGAAGCAGCAGCTCCTGAACCCGCGCCTGCTTCCCACGCCGCTTCCCAAGCTTCCCCCACCTCGTCCGCCCCTTCCGCCCCTTCCCCAACTTCTGCGCCCAACACCCCCCCCTCTTCACGTTCTTGCGCCAGGTCTGCAGCCATAGGGGGGGGGGCTGCGCTATACGGGTCTCCCCCCGCGTCTTCAAACGAGATCAGCTGGCGCTTGGGGACAGACCCGCCCACGTACCCCGGCGGCGGCGGCGGGGGGGGAAGCGGGGAGATCCGCGCATGATCGGCGCCCGCCGACCCCACTTCAGCAACCCCCCTTGCAGTAACCACCCCCGCACCTGGTTCCTCCCCTCTAAAATCCCCCCGGAATCGCCCTGCTTCTAAATCTCCGACCATATTTATCGACTGGGTCCCCGCTATAGCGGGGGCATCCGCGCTTGCGGGGGCGGGGCCGGGCGCGGGGCCGAGCGGGGGGGGGACCGGACCCGGCGCGGGAGGCGGGGATATGGAGAGGAGATCGTACGGCGGGATGAGGACCGAGCTGCTGACGTGTACGGTCGCGATGCCGTTGCTGAAGGACGACCCCGGGATGATGGTCGCGGCGGCGTAATCCGGAGGCTCGGGGGAGAAACGGACAAATGTCGAGCCTACTTTGGTATCTACCGGGTGCTCGTCCAGCAGGGTCGGATACTTATGATTCCCCGCGGATCGAAGCTGCTTCACTGTAAGCCGCTGCGTTATAACGTGGTATTTCATCAGCCGCGGAAGCACTTCCTCCCCGGACTTGGTGAAGAACAGCTGGCGGACGGTCCAGGGGAGAAACCGGTACGCGAGCTGCGTGGGCGCGAGAATGGTAACCGGGTTACCCGGCTCGACGAGTTCCAGCACGCCGGACTGCGCGAGATTTGCGGCCGTGCGGCCGAGGCCCTGGCGGGAGAGCCAGTAGAGCACCTGCTGCTGCGGGGAGAGCGTCACGGACGACGGCCGGATCACGGGGCTTGGAACGGCCATGGCTACCGGCTTCGCTACGGCTGCTGCGCCGCCAGACGCGGACGCTGACTCCACGAAGCTTCTCTTGGATGGCGGCGGTCGGATCTTCTTTCCGCTTCCGCCGCCGGCGCTGGCGGGAGACTTGGTTTTGGAAACCGGAGGCGCGTTCTTAGCGGTGGTGGATGCGGCAACTTTGGGAGGCGACAGGAGATCCAACGGCGGAACGAGCACCGTACCGACAGCCTGGCAGATCACGAGCCCGTTATAAGTCACATCCTTTACAATCACCATCGCGCCGGCGCTGCTGCTGCCGACGCTGCTGCTATCCGTTTCAGAGGGAGCGAACCAGAGGAACTCTCCCCCCGCGACTGTAGGCGCTCCGGGGAAGCCGCCACGGGCGAATCTAACGGTCAGAGTTCGGTCTTTAAGTAGCGTCTTAACGCGCCGCCCCTGGAGCTTCAGGAAGTAGTTAAAATTTATCCGCGGCTGGAAAATGTGGTACAGGAGGAGGTTTTTAAGAACGTCCTTAGCGTCGGGCCCTCTTAGTAGCTTCTGAACGGCCTGCGGGAGATTAAGGAACGCGCGGTCCGAGGGGACTAGGAGGGAGACTCCGCCTTTGCGCGCGACGGCGGGGGGGAGCGCGGAAAGGATGTCCGTTTTCTCGAGAGCGTTTGCGAAAGTTCGGAATCCGAGCGACCGAAGGCGCGCGATGGTTCGGGCGGCGTGCGCGGCCTGCTCTGGGGAGGCGGAGGCGGAAGCGGAAGCGGAGGCGGAGGCGGAGGCGGAGGCGGAGGCGGGAGTTGCGGAGAGCGTCCTCCGGGGAGACTCTGATGGCGGGAAATAAACACACGAAATGCGGAAAGAGACAACATAAAGGGGAAGCTAAGGAAGCAGTAAAATGGGTCTGTTAGAAATGCGAGACAAAACTGAAAAAACGAGGAGTCCATTTTTGAGGCGCCTCAAAAACGGGGAATGGAACTGCTTTTGAGTCGACTCAAGAACCGCTACCAAATGAGAAGACACTGACATGAGCGGCGGGGGATGCGACAGGCAAAATCATAGCAGGCAAGACCTACCTTCATGGCTTTCGTCATCATTAACGTCATCCTCGCTTTGTAGCACATCCGTTGCAGTCACACCTCTGGCTCGCAGCTTTTCACCCAGATGGTAAGCGTGCTCATCTGACACCTCCTCCTCTCCAGGCCTCGCCGCGAACTTCTTTTCATATGCCATAATGAGTTCCTCGTCATCCGCGCTAAAGGTTGGGAACTCGAATCCGTCAGACGGAATCTGGCTAGCATCTGACGGAGCTCCGTCAGCAGAAACGAGAAGGGAAGCAGGAGCCGCTGCTGCTGCTACGAGAAGCAAGAGCAGAAGAAGCGAGGGAGCGGGAGTGTGGGGGCGTGGCGGCCTCATGGTATGCCAGCGAGATACTGGCGAGGAAATAGGGGAGAATACGGTAGATGCGGGAGCTGCGGGAAATGCGGAAAAGCAGCGGTTGGATGGGTCCCGAACAGTCACGGTGGGAGAGCTAAGTTGATATGAAACGACGTGCTTCTGAAGAGAACCCTAAGACACGGAAACGGCACTGGTAGCCTAGATTCAACACCAATAGCTGAGTAAAAACGAGAAAAACTGCTTCTTCAGCCTACGCAAGACATGGTACCAGGGCCCAATCTGGCATTGTCATACTCGACGGTCTATGGTGCCAACAATGCTCCGTGTGTCTCTAGTTCCTAGTCACTAACTCACAAAACGGAGTTGGTACGAGGCAGCAGGCTCAATACAGTAATAGCAGCAGGTACAGCAGGAGCAGCAGCAGCAGCCCTGGGACGAAGGGAAAAAACCCCGTTTAGGAGGGTGTTCGGCTCTGCAGCAGGCCTGGCACTGGACGATGTGATATCACGTTACCGAAGCGAAAACTGTTTAAACCGTTTTCAAAACGTCAGGCACCATATTTTACCGCAAGGTGACGTCGAAACATGACGTCTGTGATTCACCACATACACCCCTTGATGTGTACTTGTGCTGCGGACAGAAAAAGTAGCTGGAGGGAGAACTGACGAGATTTGACAGGAACCGTTTCCTTCTGTCCTAAAAAGTTTCATGCCATTGGTGTTTCACTTCGGCTAGGGTGGAACGGAACGGAACGACGCGAAACGAACGGAACAGCATTTCCCGTCAAACCGACCGTCAATTATTAAATGCAACCTGCCTTCCCCAATTCTGTCGCGTAGCACCAGATTCGGTTTTGCGAACATTGCTCGCATTTCCGCCACCCTCCTGTGAGGACCTGCATGCCAATGGGGTTTGAGAAAAAGGGGGGCTGCCCGCCTGCTTGGCTGGAGGCACGCAGAATCCGTCGGTGAGGGGAGGAGCTACTAATTCCCAAAGCCCCACCACCGACCACAACCAACTACTCTGCGGAAGCGGCCGCGCTGGCCGCGCGGAGACGAATGGTTCCGCTCCCCCTGCGCACCTCCCACACTCCCCCACACATGTACGCGATAGAGAATACAAATTTCTTTCCGACACAGCATACTAATAGCACATGTTACACGACACCGATACATATGTTTAGGCTGGATTAATTGGCCCATAGCTTAGTACCCCGCTCTCATCAAACTCCCTATCAGAATCTTCAAATGCTTGACCGCGAAATGAGAATCTGCTTGGCCTATCCACGCCTCTTACGAGGGATGAGTTTTGCCCACCTCGCCCCAACCCACCACTGCCTCCTTCCTGCAAATTCCAGTCAAATGACAACTCGGTACTCACATCTCCTCCTACACTGGCTCCCTCTCCAATTGCGTGCCCTTCCTTTCTTTCATCTCGTCTTCTCTCACTGTTTTCATCTACACTCGTCCCCTTTGATTCACTCGCATATGTGGCCTCTTGACTCCCGTCGCCAACACCTCTAGATAAGCTGATATCATGTTGGTGAGCGTGTCGTGTTACCGCCGATGTAACCGGAAGTACCCTCTCGGGCTCCAGCACCGATTCCAACTCTGTAACCACTCGGCCCATGGAAGGTCGGGAGGCGGGGTTTTTTATGTCTGTGCACCTGAATGCCAGGCCGAGGATCCGAGTGACCTCTTTTTCAGGGTAAATGCCCATAGACTGGTCCACCACACCAGCAAGGCCCTTCTTTTCGAATAAATCTTGGACCTGAGAAGCATTGGGGTTGGGAGAAGCAGGGGGGAGGGGGTGGGGGGGCAGTTGAGGGGGTTTACAGAGAGGAATAGCACTCGGTCGGGAGGCGGTGTAAATATTCGACTAGCCCGTGCTGTTGGTGAGCAGAAAAGAGGGAAATAGAGCTTTCGTGGAAAAGACAGATGGTGCACAAAGGTACAACGATAGATGCTATGAGCACCACAAGAATTTGATCGGGGAATAGGACGCAATACAAAGCAGGACAATTAAGATGTGGGTGCACGCACGGCCATGAGGGATTGGGGACGGAAAACTACTGGTCGCTAATAGGGATGTTGTGCTTACATGGAAGCGGTATTTTGAGACGTCTCAAAACCAACCTTATACAACGTCTCAAAACCAACCTTATAAGAAGTCTCAAAACCAACCTTATAAGACGTCTCAAAACCAACCTTATAAGACGTCTCAAAACCGACCTTATAAGACGTCTCAAAACCAACCTTATAAGACGTCTCAAAACCAACCTTATAAGACGTCTCAAAACCAACCTTATAAGACGTCTCAGAACCAACCTTATAAGACGCCTCAGAACCAACCTTATAAGACGTCTCAAAACCAAACTTATAAGACGTCTCAAAACCAACCTTATAAGACGTCTCAAAACCAACCTAATAAGACGTCTCAAAACCAATAGGGATGTTGTGCTTACATGGAAGCGGTAGGGCCTGGAGACGCTTCTGGGAGGTTTCCCAGTGATGAGCTCGAGGAGAACAATGGCGAAGCTGTACACATCGATGCGCTTGGACGGCTTCCCGGTCTTGAGGTAGTCGGGGTCGCAGTAGCCCTGCATGTGTGCGCGAGAGGCGGAAGTACAAGGGGGGAAGCAAAAGGATGAGCTCAAGGAGAACGATGGCAAAGCTCTACATGTCTATGCGCTTGGACGGCTTCCCGGTCTGGAAGAGGTGAGGGAGGGGGGAGGGCAGGGGGGAAGGAGTGTGGGTTCACCAGCAACTCACAGAGCCAAGTAACTACGTGGAGTACGACGAGGAGTCCACAGATCAGGACACAAACACACGCATGCATGCAAACAACAGGCACTATTGATGTTGCTTGTGCCTCTGCACTCACACTCATAATCACAGCAGAGGCCCTCACCTTCATCATCACAGCAGAGGCACTCACCGCAGTGCCCTGAATGGACGCGGAATACGAGGAGGTGTCCACGGCTCGCGATGTGCCAAAGTCTGCCAGCTTCGCCACCACGTGGCGGTCCAAGAGGATGTTGCCAGGCTGAGAGGGGAGGAGGCAGGGGGCGGCGGTTGGGAACAAAGAGCAAAGTGGAAGGTGTGAGATCCCTCTCATGATCCGCCCCCTTTGGCAGCTCCGCCCCCTTTGGCAGCTTCGCCACCACGTGGCGGTCCAAGAGGATGTTGCCGGGCTGGAGAGAACGAGGGAGGGAGGGGGTTGGGAACAAAGGGGTGAGAGGGAGTAGACAGCTTTGCCAAGACATGGCAATCCAAGAGGATGTTGCCAGGGTGGGGGTGGAAAACGAGGAGGGGTTAAGTGAGTGGCAATATTGTCTCAGCCAGAGCAAAGTGGAACGTGTGAGAGGGAGAAGGCTTCTTTGCCAGTTTCGCCATGGCGTAGCGATCCGGCAGGATGCTGCCGGGCTGGGAGGAAGAGGGAGGCAGAGGGAGGAAGAGGGAGGAAGAGGGAGGAAGAGGGAGGAAGAGGGAGGAAGAGGGAGGAAGAGGGAGGAAGAGGGAGGAAGAGGGAGGAAGAGGGAGGAAGAGGGAGGAAGAGGGAGGAAGAGGGAGGAAGAGGGAGGAAGAGGGAGGAAGAGGGAGGAAGAGGGAGGAGGGAGGAAGAGGGAGGAAGAGGGAGGAAGAGGGAGGAAGAGGGAGGAAGAGGGAGGAAGAGGAGGAGGGAGGAAGAGGGAGGAAGAGGGAGGAAGAGGGAGGAAGAGGGAGGAAGAGGGAGGAAGAGGGAGGAAGAGGGAGGAAGAGGGAGGAAGAGGGAGGAAGAGGGAGGAAGAGGGAGGAAGAGGGAGGAAGAGGGAGGAAGAGGGAGGAAGAGGGAGGAAGAGGGAGGAAGAGGGAGGAAGAGGGAGGAAGAGGGAGGAAGAGGGAGGAAGAGGGAGGAAGAGGGAGGAAGAGGGAGGAAGAGGGAGGAAGAGGGAGGAAGAGGGAGGAAGAGGGAGGAAGAGGGAGGAAGAGGGAGGAAGAGGGAGGAAGAGGGAGGAAGAGGGAGGAAGAGGGAGGAAGAGGGAGGAAGAGGGAGGAAGAGGGAGGAAGAGGGAGGAAGAGGGAGGAAGAGGGAGGAAGAGGGCGGGATGAGAGTGAGCAGGCCTCTTCGCCATGACGTGGCAATCCGCGAGGATGTTGCCGGACTGTGCCTGGTTTAAGCGTGGTGAGGGAAAGGGCAGGGGGGCTGGCGAATCAGAAGGGGTGCGAGGCGGGGGTATGCGAGGGGAATCAACGAACCACATATGGAAGACAGAACTCACAATGATTCTCTAATAAATTAAACTACTTCTCACTCTTCCCTCATGAATCACACTACTTCTCACTCTTCCCTCATGTCAGCACATTTGACACGATGACACCATGATGATCCTTATGACATCATGGTGGTTCTGAATGATACCTGCAGCAAACCACGCATGCTCTCCCCCTTCACATCCCCATGAATGACCGGCATGCTGATGTCATGACACCCCCTCATAACACCATCACAGCCCCCTTGATTACGTCATCACACCCCCTTGACCGCACCTTCACATCGCGGTGAATGAACGGCATGCTGACGTCATCATGCAGGTATGCCAGCGCGCGCGCCGTCCCCACCGCCACCAGCAACCGCTCAGTCCAGTTGAGGGGCGGCTTGCTTTGTCTGGCTCTCCAGGAGGGGTTGAGATTCTGAGAGAGGGTTCCTCCCCCTATGAACTCGTACGCTAGCAGCTGCTCCTGCTCCTCCCTGCAATAGCCTAGCAGTTGTACGAGGTGCTTGTGGCGCGCTCTAGAGAGCAGCATGACCTGAGGAGGAGCACGGGGATTAGGGTTGGGAAGAAGGCACAGCAGGTTTTGTCTGGCTCTCCAGGAGAGGGTTCCCCCCGCCTATGAACTCCTACACCAGCAGCTGCTCCTGCTCCTCCCTGCAATAGCCTAACAGTTGTACGAGGTGCTTGTGACGCGCTCGAGACAAGAGCATGACCTAAGGGGGAAGGCGAAGAGCAGGGGGGGGGAGGCAGGGTAACAGAAGAGAGGAGTTGAGGTTCTGAGAGAGGGGCACCATCCCCCCTCCCTTACGGGCTCGTACACCAGCAGCTGCTCCTCCCAACCACCACTCACTCCTGCCCCTATCAGCAGAGGGCACTCTCAATCCTAGTCCTCTCCCTGCCTCCCTCCCTGCCTCCCTTCCTGCCTCTCTCCTGCCTCTCTCCCTGCCTCTCTCCCTGGTCCCACCTCTTTCTTGAACTTGCTCATATCCTGTCTTCTCTCCGACTTAGCTCGTTGACTATTTGAAAAACCCATCCGTCCATCTAGACTCACTTCTTACCCACCTCTTATCCACCTCTTACCCGCCTCTTACCCACCTCTTACCCACCTCTTACCCGCCTCTTATCCACCTCTTATCCACCTCTTATCCACCTCTTACCCACCTCTTACTCACCTCTTTCTTGAACTTGCTCATATCCTGTCTTCTCTCCGCCTTCGCTCGTTTCACTGCCACCACCTCTCCCGACTTGAGCCTGCCTCGGTACACCTGGCGGCACGTGATTGGCGGAGGGAAACACGCAAGGAGCGAGGGGGAGAGAGAAACATACACCTTGATCAGGACCGCTTAAAAGAGTTTAAGCTGGGATGTGGTATCTTTTTAGGATTCAGGGTTTCGGGTTTCGGGTTTAAGGTTTAGGGACCTAAAAAGGCTATCACAGCATCAACCTTGATCAGGTCCGCGTGAAGGAGGGACCGGAAGAGTCACCTTGACACGAGCTACCAACACAAACATACACCTGTAAATATAATATGTATATCATATACATGGTATGCTATACCATGTACACTACAGCTCGACCATGTCATGCAATCCGATGCCATGCCATGCCATGCCATCCCATCCCATCCCATCCCATGCCATCCCACACACCACGCCATGCCACGCCATGCAATGCCATCTCATACCATGCCATCCGATGCCATCCCATCCCATGCCATGTCATGCCATGCCACTCGCATTGCTGTAGCTGGCCTGCTTCAGGTGGCTGCTGCAAAGCCATCAGTCGCAGCCACGAGGTGAGCGAGAGAAAACTCAACCACTCTCTGACTGTCAAACGATGCCTCCTCCTCACTCGCTTCATCCCCACCCCATGCCATCCCATGCCATCCCATGCCATGCCATGCCATGCCCATGCCATGTCACGCCATCCCATGCCATCCCATCCCATGCCATCCCATGCCATGCCATGCCATGCCATGCCCATGCCATGTCTCGCCAGGCCATGATATATTATGCGGTGCCATGTCATGTCATACCATCCCACGCACGCCACTCACATTGCCACAGCTGCCCTGTCCCTGGAGGCTGCTCTCAGCAAAGCCGTCCGTTGCAGCCAACAGGTGAGAGAGAGGAAACTCCGCCGCTCTCTGGATGTCAAACGACTCCTCCTAACCCGCCCCATCCCCACCCCATGCCATGCCACACGCCACTCACATTGCCACAGCTGCCCTGCATCTGGAGCCTGCTCTCAGCAAAGCAGACCGTTGCAGCCACCAGGTGAGTCAAGAGAGAATCTCACGTCTTTCTGAATTTCAAGCGATGGTTCTTTTCTTGGTTTTTGCTCATGTCAAATCAAACCATGCCACTCACATTGCCGTAGCTGCCTTACCCCATGTGCTTGCTCTCAACAAAGCCGTCAATTGCAGCCACGAGGTCAGCAAAGAGAGAAATCCTTGCCATACCATGCCATGCCATGCCATGCCCTGCCACGCCATCCCACGCCACTCACATTGCCGTAGCTGCCTTGTCCCAGGTGGTTGCTCTCAGCAAAGCCGTCAGTCGCAGCCACGAGGTCAGCAAGAGAGAACTCCACCACTTTCTGAATGTCAAACGACGCCTCCTCCTCACTCGCCTCCCTCACGTCCGCCACATCCCCGATGTGGCTACTACCACCAGCACTACCAGCACCAGCAGCACCAGCACCAGCAGCACCAGCACCAGCAGCACCAGCACTAGGGCCAGCAGCATTAACACCAGCAGAAGCAGCAGCAGCAGCAGCAGCAGCAGCAGCACCCCCTCCTCCTTCCCCATCTTCCCCCCAGCTCCCCTCACCTTCCTCCAACTGCTCCCCAAGCGGCCGCCTCTTCTCTCTCCTCCCCCCAAACGGGTTGGGCAAACCACCCCCAAACGGACTGGGTAAATTACCCCCAAACGGGCTGGGTAAACCACCTCGGCCGCTAACCCCCCTGCTACTCCCACTTCCAATGCTGCAGCTGTTGCTGTTGCTGATGCTACTGCCGGTACTCCCCCCACCGTCACTTGAACCATCCTGTGCTGCGACCACTGAGAAACCGCCACGTGGCGTGTGCGGATTGGGCGGGAGGCGGCGGTATAGCAGCAGAGCCATGGTGGAAGCAGCTAGAGCAGCAATGAGAGCGAGGGATAGGGAGATGGTGAGGGCTGATATCAGGATGGCTCGACTGGTGGGGGAGAGAGAGGTGGGGTCACTGGTGCTGTTGCTGTTGCTATCGTTGCTGTTGCTGCTTTTGTTACTGTTGCTGGTCGTGCTGTCGCTGTTCTGATTGCTGCTGCTGCTGCTGCTGCTAGTGACGACTGTGCTATTGCTGCCATTGCCAGCGTTGCTGCTGCTGTTACTGCCGCTTGCGCTCTCCAAGGTACTGCTGCTTCCGCTGTTCCCACTGCTACTCTGAGGACTGTCAGTGGTGCCATTGTTGCTGCTGCTCGTGGTGTCAGTGGTTTTGCCTTCACTGCTGCTGATGTCGCTACTGCTGGCAATCCAAGATTGGTTGCTCTCACCACTCTTGCTGCTGTTGCTGCTGCTGCTGCTGCTGCTGCTGCTGCTGCTGCTGCTGCTGCTGCTGCTCCCACCACTTGTGCTGCTGTTGTGGCTACTGCTGCTTTTACTATTTCTGGTGGTGCTGTTGCTGCCGCTGCCACTGCTGCTACTGTTGCTGTTGCTCCTATTGCTGTCACGCTCTGCCTTTAAATATAGGACAGGGTACCAGGAAGGAAGGGGGAACAGCAGAGGGCAGAATGAAAATTAGCCGACGGTAATTAATGAAAGAATTTTTCATACAAGGAATGTGAGCATGCATGTCACAAAGCAAAATTTTTCATAGATGGGGGTTAAAATTGCAGGTCGGTATCATGAACTTCGCACACACCCACTAACGTAGTAAGTTCGGCACTGGAGTTGGGAAATGGCGAACCTTACTCTCACCCGCCGAACTCGTTGGAAGCGCATCCGCTTTTAGCACTCTGCTCCTCGAACCAGAATCACCACGCGGATCAGTTTCCCCATCCACACTCTCTCCTCTGTTCCCACGGAAGGCGAAAGGTCGTAGGTTCGAATCCCTGCGTTGTCTAAAGATCAATCGTGGAAAGAAGTCAGGTCCTGGTAACGGCGCTGTCTGGTCATCACTTTGAGCGTTGGCTTGGAAGGATGGGCTTCGATTGAGCTCGTTTGAGTCCTCGTGAAGGCGGAAGGAGCTAAGCGACGTTGGTTGTGTAGAGGCTTTTGTCGCGGATGCGTATAGCGATTCGCTTAGGAACGGTACACGAGCGGAAACCTGACGTGCTGCAGGTAGCAGCAGGAGCAGCAGGAGCAGCTGCTGCGCGAGCATTGATCGACAGAGGAGGAATTGAGGCAGCATTATTGCATTGAGCGCGAATCGAGGTTTCATGGGGAGGCTCCGAACACGATTAGTTACATTCCGCGCGTCGCATGGCATCGCAGGGTGTTGACACGTGGCAGGTTTACGCGGCGATCATTGTGCGACTATGACTGGCGCGGCGCAATAATCCTGGACGACCTTGACGCAAGACGCGGACATCTGGTCGACGATCACTGGCACGGCGACATCACCACGAGATCCTGGCATTTGGACGAAAAATCATCGTGGAACCATCTTCTCAGCCAACGACGCCGCGAGCTTGGGGTGGATAGGACGAGAGACGACGCGAGAAGACGAGAGGAAGCGAGAGGAGAGCGGACACCAAAGGGAGAGGATATGGTGTTACCTCCAAAGGGAGAGGATATGGTGTTACCAAAGCGAACTTAGCGCATCCCCCTCGTCGTATGGCTTTCTTTACTGAAATGCGTAGATTTGTGACAGCAGACACCACCAAGAGCTCTCAGTTTACAGTTCCCTTCGTACGGTTGAGTCTGGTGCGTGACGTTTAAAAGCGGTAAAGCGGAGGAAACGCTCCCAACCATGGAGTTCCTTTCTGCACCTGCTCGAACGAACAGAAAGTGAGCTACACAAGAGACCCGAAGCAGGACGATGCATCCACCAACCTCGATATTATCTCAGCCAATAGCAGGACAGGACGAGCGCGGGAGGAAGTGTTGTTACAGTGTTCCGCCGTCAGTCAAGCATCCCCTTCGAATCCGAGCGGCAGCGCTCAAATGGAGCCTGCTGCGCGGGCCATATATGGGCGGACGAGATCATACAAAGGGGGAGTGGTTGCGGGGAAGTGGATGTGGAAAAGCCTGAATGTGCGGGTGGAGGGGAAGGGGGTAGCGGGAGAGGGGAGATGCTCGCGGGGGACGTTGGGGGGAGGGGCCGCCCGCAGTCAGGGCAGGGGGGACCTGGTGACAGCGAAAGATGCGGCGCGCTGAGCGCCAATGCGCAGGTTCATCACAGGTTCTGTATCCTTTACAGCCGGTCGGAGTCGCAGAAAGCCCACTAACAAAGCATATTATTGCCAAACATCCATCCAAACCATATGACACAATTAAGTCTTGTACACACTACTACCGGTATGAGTGTCATGACAACAGGGTTAGCAATTAGGTAGAGGCACAATGGACTACCAAATAATTACCAGGGCCAGACTTTCATGAAGACCCTGACCTGACAGAGCTGTAAGATCAGCCTAGTTCCAGACCTTGCTGCTTACAACTCTGCCGCTCCTGCTCCTCTGCTCTCACCATCTGACTGAGGCTCCCGCGTTATTTCCAGCTTTGTAAGTGATGAGTTGGGACCACGCTCCCTCAAAATTTCTTCATAAAACCGATCCCTGAACCCAGACTCACTCCAGTACTCTTGATACTCTGGCTTCACTCTCCGCACAGGAATGGTGATGGAGTAGACAGTTCCGATGTCAGGGTCTGCTGATACACTGAGCTGCACGTCTTCTTCTGATTCAATCTCCACGTATGCTGAAATAGCATCAATAATCTTGCGCCGTAAACGCCTTCGAACTTCAGGACTCACTTCCCCACGATCTGTGTACAGAACTAAACGCAGCCGCTCCTTCGCAATCTCAGCATTGCTGCAAGGGTTCACAAGTAAGAGAGATGGGATCAGATTCTTGATCCAGAGATGCTCAACAAGTGGAAACACCACACGAGAAGAGTATGCAAGATGAGTGCTGCTGACAAAACCAGCTTGAATGACCATGCGATTGCGGCAACCTAGAAAGGCAGAAAACCTTGTAAAGTAAAAATGATCGAAATCACCAACCTTGGGAGACGGTTTCTCGGAGGAAAAATTATCCGCCATGCCCGCTGCAAGCGTTGAAGGAATGTCAATTCAAAAATATCTTCATCATCTTCATCGTAGTAGGTCGCACTTACTGCAGAGCATGCATCACGGAAGCAGAAAATCGAGCGTTACAGCCGCAAAACATACGCAAGGCTTCTGCAAAGGATAAATCTGTACGACCATTACCCATAAAAGATCGGGCGACTCCATGCCTGGGCAATGGGGTAGGCTTAAAACTTGAATTTCCGTAAAATCCTGGTGTTAAAGCGCATCGCAACGACGTTCGTGTGAAATTAGGCGACGTCTTGCGTGCTGTTCGTGGTCTCAACTGCAAGGACAAGCAGAGATGAGAGTCAAGTGACGAAAATTGGCCAGAGAAAGAGCCTCGGTCTAGCACGAATTGAGAACCATTGTGCTCCCCTGAGAATTCTAAATAAAAAACGCCTTACCGATGAACAATTCTGATGAAAGTTTGAGGGGGGTTGCGAGAAAGCGTCTGCTCTAACAACGGTGGTGTTAGAAGCCCCAGTGACATTCCCGATCACTGACGGTTGAACGACCCTAGAGGACGAAGACCACATGGCAGGTTGAGCCATTAAGAATGAACTACCACACGCTAAGCTGATACCTACTGACGCAACGCGTTAACTACACTGATTTGCAGGGTTGAGATCTCAAGGCCTCTACCCTATGTTCCTAAAGTGTGCTTGAATGGTGAATGGCGGCAGCAGCAAGCTCTCACCCTCTACTTTCCTATGTCACACCGCCACACCTGAGGGCGTGTGCACGCCCTGACAAGGACCAGGACGTAGGGTATGTCGAGGCTGATGTAATTTAGCCAATCACAACAAGCGAACGGTATCTTTGGGTGTCTGTTTTGGCGGGAAATGCACTGTACAGCACTCAGATTACACGCATCACTGATACATGAAACACACGCCTAAATTGATTATACACACGCAACATAACTGATTATACTAATTGTAAGCATCACTTATACATGAACTTGATGCGTATTGCACTAAGCGCAAAAACGACTATCTGCCATACATCTTATACTACATCATTTGTTAGGAGCATGGCTAATAATCAGAGTATGGCTAATCAGAGTATGGCTAATAATCACTAGCCTCTCTTCCTTCACCCTGCCAACAACTGAAGGGAACCCTGCTGCAGCTGCTAACAGCTAACGTTTTGTTCTGGCTCTTGAAGCTAATTCAGAGCCTGCACTTCTCTTCTTCCCACTTCCTGTCGCAATCTCCTTTTTCTCTGTGGAAGGTCCTAAAACAGTAGCTGACCAAAGTGCCTTCTCCACATTAGATGCTGTAAACCTTGAGAAATACCTTTCCTCCACTTTCACAGCATCGGTTGCTTCAACAGTGCTGTCATCAGTGGTCTTTTCCCGCGATGTACCCGTATCCTTCACATGGCCCTGCTCTGCGCTGCCTCTTGAAGCTGTAGAAGAACCTGCTTCTGCAAGGTGATTCAGCTCCTGTCACGCCAACAAAAAAAAAGCAAGAGGGAGGGGGGAGTAAGGGCGGGTCCAGAAGGCAGGAAGGTCCTCCCAGTGGACTGGTGAAAGGTTCATACCTTGCCACAGACGGAAAACACAGCGTGATAAAACATACGCAACAGAGTGTGCACACATGCACATACTCACACGCACACACCCACACACACACACACACACACCCCTGCACACACATGCATACAGATCAGAAATGCTCACATGCGCTTTTTCTCGCATGGCCTTGGCAAACACGAGGTAGCGTCGAAGAGAGTAGTCCTTGCTGTCTCCCAGTGCCGCAACCATAGCCTGGTTGACAAGGGCAGATGAGAAACAGGGCAAAAGGAGGGCACTTGGACAGCTGGGAGGGAGAAGGTGGGGAAGAAAGGCGAGATGGCCGGGAAGCAGCAACAGACAGAGAAACAGATCTCCATATACCAATAGTATCTCTCTCCGAAACTCAACCAGCAGGAGGACACTTCAAAGCCCGTGGCTATAATAGCAATCAAGAGGGCTGTTTAATTTCCTCTTGAACTTGGCACATGACTTGATCTTTAGAGTAAACGAAACAGAATAAAAACATTCGTTTTGCAAAGCGGAATCTGACCGTGGCGGTTTGGCGACAGTTTTGCACGAAACCATTCGGTGAACAGTGCAATACACATCGTGCGACCGAATTCGTGGTTCCATGAACAGTGCGAATGCGAGACGAACAGTGTTTTTTTGGCGAACAGTAGCTGATTCCGGAATTGCAGACCTGGAAATCACTTGAATTCCCCAGTCATAAAGCGCCTGTATTTCCTCATCGCAAGCTTCTCGCCCAAACCCGTCGTAGAAACTCCGTGCAATGCACACAGTGTTTTTGCGCAAATCGCATTCAAATGATCGTGTCGCAACAAACAGCAAAACGAGTTCTTTCGCCATTCCTCCAATCAGCAAGCTCGACTAGAATTCGTTTCGACGCACTTTTCTTGTTCAGGCTCGAAATCAAAGCTGCCTTCCATTCTATACTTGGACGGATTTCAAAGCACCAAATTCAAGTGGTTTCCAGGTCTGCTATTTTAGCCGCGGGCTTTAAGAGCCGGGAGGGAGAAGGTGGGGAAGCGCGAGATGGCCGGGAGGCAGCAACAGACAGAGAAACATATCTCCATATACCAATAGTATCTCTCTCCGAGACTCAACCCGCTCACCTCAACGAACATAAACGGAGCTATCTCAGGGGCGAACGCGGCCAGCACTGCGATGCTGTCGCCGGCCCAACACCCTTCAGCGCTGACAGTTCCATTGCATGTGCAGGTAGTACATGCATGTATCTCTCTGCATAACTCTCAACTCTCACCTCCTCTGACATAAACGGAGCTACCTCAGGGGCGAACGCGGCCAGCACTGTGATGCTGTCACCACCCCCGATGAGAGCGCTGTGAGGAAGAAGGGCTGGATGGCTGGACAGGCAGCCAACAGACGAAGAAACAGGCCTCCATGTGCACGTAACATGACGCAGCCAGCACTATGTATCTCTCTCGGAGACTCAAAACTGACGTATGTGAAGCTCACCTCATCTGACATAAACGGAGCTATTTCAGGGGCGAACGCAGCCAGCACTGCCGATGCTGTCGCCGGCCCAACACCCTTCAGCACTGACAATTCCGTTACTGCCGTCTTCAGAGAAGCTTCTACGCCTGCTTCCGACTGCGCTACCGAACCTGAATCCGAACCTCCGGGGTTGGCGAAGGTGTGGTATTGTGCTAGGGCAGCGAATGCTCGGGACGATGCAGTTTGGACGGAATTGGGATCGAGCTGCTTTATGAAGTCCAGGAGACGCGGGCTGGAAGGGGGAAAGAGAAGGTGGGGGGGGGAGGTTGAAGTGAGGGGGGAGGTTGTGGGTGAATGGGGGTTTGCAGCCATATTTTGACATAAGCCATACAGCACTATTGGGGTCTAATGCTTTATGAAGTCCAGGAGACGCGGGTTGAAGCGGGCAAGAGAGAGGAGGAGGGGAGGGGGAGCGAGGGGAGAGGGCAGAGAGGGGGGAGAGTGGGGAGAGGGGGGAGAGGGGAGAGTGGGGAGAGGGGGGAGAGGGCAGAGAGGGGGGAGAGGAGGGAGAGGAGGGAGAGGGGGGGGAGGGGGGAGGGGGGAGGTGGGGGGTGAAGGAGGACTGTGTTGCGAGGAGGGTGAGTGAAAGCTGGTGTTGAGGTAAGGAAAAGCGAGGGGGAGAGGGAGTGGGGGGTGGTCGAAGAGGGGGTCGTGTTGAGGAACTAACCGCCACTTGCCACGTGTCAGCTTCCACTCCATCACCGACACCAGCTCCTCCTTGCTGACGTAAGCTCGACCAGTTCCCTCGCTGACGCAAACGCCACCCTTGCCACCGTGCCGCTGCCCTTCAGTACCCTCAAGGCCCGTGTCCTCGCCTTTTTTATTTCCGCGTCTCGTGTTCCTACTTTTGGTAGTCTCGCCCTTACTCCCGCCTTTAGCATTCTCGAGTTTATTCCCCCGTCTGGAAGATCCAGCTTTAGAATCTCCCGCTTCTGCGTCCTCATTTTCAACATCTCCCGATTCCGTACCCACCCCTGCAGCAACCCCCCCTTCAGTGTCCTCGTTATAAGCAATCTCTCCACCGCGCTGTCGCTGCTGCAACCGCCGAGGAAGCTCGTCGCAATAGAAGACGTCGAGAGCGGCGAGCTTGGGGTTCGCGAGCGACTCGATCGCGCTGCTGTACGCGATACGGGCGTCCCCCCAAGCAGCCCAGTCAGAAGACGAGAAATCAAGCATGTCTCAAGCGTACGAGTGGTTTCTTACGAAGCCTGCTCTAACAGATCGCGCGGTACAGAGTGGTGGAATTTCGGACGGAGGCTGTTCGAATGCTAGACACCACGCCTTCATCTGTACCAAGAGCAATTGGTTTGGGTGAAAAGATGGATCGCCACGCCAGGACGCAGTCGCTAGGGTGTGGGTTTCCTGGGGCGAAAATGACCTTGAGAATTCCGCCTCTATTGAATATTGCGATGTAGCGCGAACGACATTCACTGAAAACCACACATTCATAATCATAATGTGCATTTGCACACATTCAACAATCCAAAGCAATCCTCAAAATCCCTTGGTGCTTCCAACTCTTGAGTTACCCGGAGTGGGTTCGAATTCCCTAACTGGCCCTTTGAACCAAAACCTAGCATGGAGCAGCCACCATGCAATAAACATTTTCATCCATATAGCGATTGCCACCGGCGCCCAATTAAAATTCTCGACGGTTATTGGAAACATTGTCGGGAGGTTGAAGACGATGAGGGTGTATAGGACCCATAACAGTGCCAGTAGATGGACAAGTTTACTGTAGACAAATAGAAGTACATGAGGGGGGCAGGGGCGTGGAGGGTGATAGTTGGGAAAGGGGGAGAGGATATGAGTTCTACACATGTAAGGAGACTGTGGGAAAGATGACTCTGTGAGGAAATCAATTGTCGCAAAGTACCCATGACATGCCAATAAATTTCACCACCACTCCTCTCACACCACCACCACCTCCACCGTGTCTCCAATGTAACTCCTTTTCCATTCGTGCACCCCCCTCCCCAATACCCTACAATCCCACCTCCCACCAGGTCACCCCTTCACCATTTTCCAACAAAAAAAGAGGAAAAGGTCTCACCTGCCCGTGACTCCGATGTAGTTGGGCAGGTAAAACGGCCCCGGGGGAAAATGCTTCTCCTTTTGCACAAATCGGAAAAAGATCGGAACAGAATACGCCGAGACCCATGCGATGGTGGAGATTGATGCAAGGGCGAAGAAGAGTGTGGAGGAGGCGAGGACTGGGAGCAGGAAGAGCAGCCCGATGAGCACCGAGAGGGAGAGGGCCGCGACGGGGACACGGTTGGAGGAGAGGCGCCGCCAGAGGGAAGAGAAGGGCAGGCCGCCGTCCCGAGCCAAGGCGTAGGCCTGGGGGAGTGTTTGGGGAGGGGAGGGGGATGGGGGAAAGAGAGGAGGGGAAGGAAAGGAGGGCGGGGGAGCAACAAGAGTGATGAGGAATATGCAAGCTTGTACAGATAGAGGGGGCAAAGAAGAGGGTGGAGGAGGTGAGGACTGGGGCGCCGCCAGAGCAGCCTGATGAGCACCGCGAGGGAGAGGGCTGCTATGGGCACCCGGTTGGAGGAGAGGCGCCGCCAGAGTGAGGAGAAAGGGAGGCTGCCATCCCGAGCCAAGGCGTAGGCCTGGAGGAGTGGGTGGAAGGTGGTGGGGGGGGAATGGGGGGAGAGGAATGGGGAAGGAGAGCAACGGGCACGCGGTTGGAGGAGAGGCGGCGCCAGAGCGAGGAGAAGGGCAGGCCGCCGTCCCGAGCCAAGGCGTAGGCCTTGGGGGTGGTTGGGGAGAAGTCGGGAGGGGAGGGGAGGAGGAAGCGGTAACACGTAACACAGCAATTGCGGCAATAGGTAACAGACTCACCAGCCGAGAAGCCCTGACCTGGCATGAGAGAGTTGAACGTAAAAGAGAGATGGAGATGACCACTCAAAAGGAGGCCTTTCTTTTGGTCGAGTGTGAGCGGAGCTTACCACTCGAGATGCCCCAAGCTGGCATGACAAAGTGGCGCCAAAGAAGGAAATGCAGATGACCACTGTGAAGACCTGCGCTCCCAGCCCAGAGCCGTAGCTGTGTGAGAGACGAGAGAAAAGGAGAGGAAGGGAGAAAAAGGTGGGGACGGCTACGGGGACGAGGAACAACGGCAGGACGCGAAGGAAATGCAGATGACCACTGTGCAGACCTGCGCTCCCAACCCAGAGGCGTAGCTGCAGGGGGGGAGGAGGAGAGGAGAGGAGAGGAGAAGAGAAGTAGGGGCAGCTAAGGGGACGAGGAGAATTGGCAGGGGAAGAGAGAAATGACCACAGTGAAGACCTGCACTCCCAACCCAGAGCCGTACCTGCAGGGGAGGGTCGGGGAGGGAGGGGCGGGAGGAGGGGAGAGTGGGGGTTGGGAAAGGGGTGGATGGAGAAGGACGGGTTTGTGGGTTGACATGCATTGCATGGCATGGCATGCGGAATGCATGGTATGCGGAGAAACTGGTATGCGGTGAGCATGGTATGTGGAGAGCACAGCATTCTTTCAGGCTTACAGTGAAGCTGTGAGGTTCAAAAAGAGGCAAGGAGCATCTCAAAACTCGGAGCAAGTGTAAACGGTGTGTCGAATTGCAGAGGGTGATCAACAGGAGTCTCCTCTCCCTACATCTTACCGAGCAGAGCATGCGGCCCACATGATTTTTGAAGCGCCTCGAAATCAGCTTCCTGTGGGCAGCAACAAGCGTCTCTTCTCCCCAATTTTGGTTCTCACCGAGCATAAAACGCGTCCCACATGATTTGCACAACTGGTTGCATGCCACCTGTCACGCTCTCTGCTGCAAACAGATGAGCTGGATCCTGGATGCTCCACGTCAGCACCACCACCAGCAGCCACGCCAGGACGGTGACGGTAGAGAGCGATGACATAATCGCGAGGGGCGCCGTCCGGTCGGCCTTTTTTGTCTCTTCTGCAAGATGCGCCACGCAGTCGTAGCCGTAGAGGGAGTACTGGGAGACGAGGAGAGTGATGAGGAAGGAATACGCCTGAAACACGGGAAGGGGGAAAGAGATGGCGGGAGGATCAGCTGCAGTCGTAGTCGTAGAGGGAGTAGTGGGCGACGAGGAGAGTGATGAGGAAGGAATAGACCTGTGGAATGGGAAGGAGAGGATTTTTCTTGGGGGGGGTGGAAGGGGGGGGGGGAAGAGGGAGATTTGGGGGGAGGGGAGAATGGAAACTGTTCGTTTGTGCACGGGCGGGCCACACAGTTGTAGCCGTAGAGGGAGTACTGGGAGCCGGGGAGAGTGCTGATGAAAGCATAGGCATCGGGAAGGGCGTGGGGTGTGTGCGGAGGGGGGGAGGGAGGTTAGGAAGGAATGGGAACTGCCTGATGGCCCAAGACACGCAGTTGTAGCTGTAGAGGGTGAATGGGAGACGAGGAGAATGCTGATGAACGAACTCCTCAAACACCCATGATGCCTTTTGAAGCGCCTCTAATTAACCTCTAAGTTGTTCAGGTAGCCTCCAAACTTTGGCTGATAAGCGCCTCCTATTAATGCTCGTACTGTTCTCCCATAGCTCAGTGAGAACGTGGTGTCTCCTGTTGCTTCCGAACTCCTCAAACTCCCCGAAAACACAGCATTATGGCTTCTGAAACTCGTCAGAAGAACCACAAAACTCGTTCTGGTAACCTCCAAGCCCACACTGCTCAACTCTCGACTCACATCGCATGGCGTGACTTTGGATTTTTAGTCGACTCAAAAGTCACCTCGTTACAATGTCACACAACACTTTTGAGTCGACTCACCTCGTTATAATGTCACACAACACTTTTGAGTCGACTCGCCTCGTTACAATGTCACACAACACTTTTGAGTCGACTCAAAAGTCCCCTCGCTGCTGAACTCCAGACTCACATCGCGTGGCGAGACTTAGGGTTTTCAACTCACATAACAATGCTCAGCCACTCGCACTGCCAAACCCCAGACTCACATTGATTGGCGTCAGTGTGGTGTCTCTGTTGTTGCCAAAGTCGCCTAACACCCACGATGCCAACCAAAGCGCCTAAGAAGCAACCCAAGCCAAGCCCACGCTGCCAAACCCCGGACTCACATTGCTTGGCGTCAGCATGGTGCCTCTGCTAAGTTTGGATTTTCATCTCACATAACAATGCTCGGTCATTCACACTGCCAAACCCCAAACTCACATTGCTTGGCGTCAGTGTGGTGTCTCTGTTGTTGCCAAAGTCGCCAAACACCCACGATGCGGGCTCGTGGGTAGGCGCCACCAGGGGCAGCATGACGATCAGAACGACAGCTGCTGTGATCTGAGAGGGAGGGCGAGTAGAGGGCGGCACAAGGGCGAGTAGAGGGCGGCACAAGGGCGAGTAGAGGGCGGCACAAGGGCGAGTAGAGGGCGGCACAAGGGCGAGTAGAGGGCGGCACAAGGGCGAGTAGAGGGCGGCACAAGGGCGAGTAGAGGGCGGCACAAGGGCGAGAATATGGGGCAATAGGAAGATTGCTGACACACCCAGCACCAAACTGTGCAGCTCTCCAGCACCCATGCATGTCGCGGGCTGATGGGAGGGGGCTACCAGGGGCAGCATGATGATCAGAATGGCAGCTGCTGTCATCTGAGAGGGAGAGTGGGGAAAACGAGGGGACAGGGGAGGGAGGAATTGCGAGGCCAACGACAAGGGATTACTATGGCTCTCGCCAAACTCCCCAAATACCCACGATGCCGGCTCGTGGGTGGAGGCTAGTAGAGGCAGTGATAGGATGGGATGGGAATGACTGGTGCTGCAATCTGAGAGAAGGGGGAGACGGCGAGACAGGGGCGAGGCAAGGGCGAGACAGAAGCGGGACTGCGGCACTGCTGCCAATCACCCCAATCACCCCAATCACCCCAATCACCCCAATCACCCCAATCACCCCAATCACCCAAATCACCCAAATCACCGACGATGGCGCGTCATGGGAGGGGGCCACTAGAGGCAGCATGATAGGATGCCACTAGAGCAGGGCAGCAGGGCAGCGTGGCAGCAGGGCAGCGTGGCAGCAGGGCAGCGTGGCAGCAGGGCAGCGTGGCAGCAGGGCAGCAGGGCAGCGGAGGATTCACCTGAATGAAAGAAGAGGCGACCATGACGTTTGCCACGGTGCGCACTGGCAGGCAGTTGATGAGGAAGCAGATGAGCACAAACGCGCACGCAATGGCAAAGACGGTGTACTTGCTCAAGAGGAAGCCGCCGCCCTCAGCACCGCCTGTGGGTTGGGTGCAATGAACAGGGTGGGACGGAGTGGGACGGAGTGGGACGGGGTGGGACGGGGTGGGACGGGGTGGGACGGGGTGGGATGGGGTGGGACGGGGTGGGACGGGGTGGGCTGGGGTGGAATTGGGTGGGACGGGGTGGGATGGGACGGGATGGGCGATGGCAAAGACGGAGTACTTGCTCAAGAGGAAGCAGCCGCCCTCAGCACCGCCTGGTGTTTGGGTGCTGGAACAGGGTAGAACGGGGTGGGATGGGTTGGGATGGGTTGGGATGGGTTGGGATGGGGTGAGAGACGGTAAAGAGGAAACCACCGCCATCAGGACCACCTGTGAGTTGGGTTGGGTGGAAGGAACGGGGAGGGGTGGGGTGGGATGGGGTGGCGTGGGATGGGGTGGTATGGAATAGCATGATGTGGCACATAGTGGCATGGGGCATGAGCATGAGATGGGATGACATATCGTGTATGGTATAGAGACGATGATAACTCATCCATAAATGTGCATGTGCATGTACACACGTGCCGAGGTGAGCATGTGTGTACCGGTGGATATGAGGGTGAGCACTTGCAGGATGACCGAGCCACCATACGACACATTGGCCCCCCACATACATGTGCATGCACTTGCGAACCGCCAGGTCCGAAACTCCCATGTGCGCTCAAGAGTGCAAGTGGAAGTGTGTTTACCGGTGGAAATGAGAATCAGCACTTGCAGGATGACTGAGCCACCGTACGACACATTGGCTCCGCACACCGCCAAGCCCAAGAATTCCATCCAGCCCTGTGAAATGCGGTGGAGTCAGATGAAATGCGGTGGAGTCAGATGCAATGCAGTACAGAGGGGTCTCCTTTAAAATCCGATGTAGTAAGTAAGGAGAGCCTGCCATACGACACATTGGCTTCGCACACTGCCAAGCCCAAAAAACCAATCCAGCCCTGCGACATGCGGTGGAGTCAGATGCAATGCGGTGGAAAACGGTTGAGTGTAGGGGCACAGATGGTTTCTGTATGGTGGAGGAAGAACCTGATTGTAGTGACTCGGGCAAGGAGCAGAGAAGCCAAGCGTCTGGCTATAAAACAAATCACGTGGCTGAATCTATATCCTATACATATCAAATCAAATCAGATCGCGTCTCACTGTGATAAATGACGCCAGTGGGCCCCACCGTGGCCCTGCCAGTGCTGCCGCCCAAAAGTAGAGAGAGCCAGCTGTCTGGAGCAAGGAGAGGGGGAAGGGAAGGGGTGGAGGGGGAGGGGGAGGAGGTGGAGTGTAGGGAGGGGAGAGGGGGGGAAGGGGAGGAAGGGGGGAAGGCAGGGATGATTGCTAAGTGGGTGAGGTGGTCAGTGAGCAAGTGGGGCAGAATCTGTGGAGCAGTGAAGGCAGCGAACGTGGAGAAGTGCGGTGAAGTGCGGTGAAGTGCGGTAACAAACGGCAGTGGAGCGTATGCTCACGGGAAACGAGGACGCTATTTCCGCCATGGAGACGCCTATAAGGTGGACGAATAAGGCGGTGATCCACCAGTACCAGATGAGCCCCGCTGGCCCGCCGTTGATGAAACCCTGGCTGCAGAAGGGGAGCGAGGGAGGAGGGGGCGGGGGGGCGGGGGGACGGGGGGACGGGCGAAAGGGGGGGCGCACAAGCAATGAGGGCGCAGCACATACTAGCGCTCTGCGTGTGACAACGAGGGTGGTGATCCACCAGTACCAGATGAGTCCCGCTGGCCCGCCGTTGATGAAACCCTGGCTGCTTGGAGAATAAACAGGAAAGGGGGAGGGTGGAGAGCAGAAGGTGCAGAGGGGCAGGGGAGACGGAGCAGAAGGAGGAGGTTGCAGAGTTGGATAGCGCAAGCATGTGGGATCGGAATTGGCGTAGCAGGCGGAAAAACGCAGATGGAACCGTGAGCGTAGGCAGGGGACATGTTACACACATGTGGGTGGGCGGGTGGGTGGGTGGGTGGGAACGGGACGTGCACGTGGGGTGGCAGGGGACGTGCACGTGGGGTGGCAGGGGACGTACGCGTAGGTGGGGACGAACCCAGCGAAGACCGTCATGAACGACACGCCCACTGCGTACAGCCCGGGGAAGCGCTGAGGAGAGAAAGGGGGGGTCGCAAGGGTGCATGGGCAGGAGCACTGGGAAGCGGGGCTAGGGGGAAGTGGGGCCACATCCACAAGCGAAGCCCGTAAGACAGGCAGGCATGAATGACACGCTCCCTGCGTACAGCCCGGGGAAGCGCTGGGAAGAGCAGGAGGGGTGATGGGTAAAAATGGGTGCAAGGGAATGGTGCAGTGGTGGGGTGGGGGGAAGGGGGTGGTTGGGGATGTTTGGGTCGCAGGCACTGAAGGCGAGAAGCGTGCACATGCGCAGGCGGCGAAGGGAAGAAGCGTGCACATGTGCAGGCGGCGAAGGCAAGAAGCGTGCACATGTGCAGGCGGCGAAGGCAAGAAGCGTGCACATGCGCAGGCGGCGAAGGCAAGAAGCGTGCACATGTGCAGGCGGCGAAGGCAAGAAGCGTGCACATGTGCAGGCACCGAAGGCAAGAAGCGTGCACATGCCCAGGCACCGAAGACAAGAAGCATGCACATGCGCAGGCGGCGAAGGCAAGAAGCGTGCACATGTGCAGGCGGCGAAGGCAAGAAGCGTGCACATGTGCAGGCACCGAAGGCAAGAAGCGTGCACATGCCCAGGCACCGAAGACAAGAAGCATGCACATGCGCAGGCGGCGAAGGCAAGAAGCGTGCACATGTGCAGGCGGCGAAGGCAAGAAGCGTGCACATGTGCAGGCACCGAAGGCAAGAAGCGTGCACATGCCCAGGCACCGAAGACAAGAAGCATGCACATGCCCAGGCACCGAAGACAAGAAGCATGCACATGCGCAGGCGGCGAAGGCAAGAAGCGTGCACATGCGCAGGCACCGAAGGCAAGAAGCGTGCACATGCCCAGGCACCGAAGACAAGAAGCATGCACATGCCCAGGCACCGAAGACAAGAAGCATGCACATGCGCAGGCGGCGAAGGCAAGAAGCGTGCACATGCGCAGGTGGCGAATGGAAGAAGCGTGCACATGCGCAGGTGGCGAATGGAAGAAGCGTGCACATGCGCAGGCGGCGACGGCCAGCCATGGGGGACACGCTACTGAGATACAGCCCAAGGTGGCGGTGGGAACAGAGGCGTTGCGAGGAGAGATCACAAGGTGGGGGAAGGGACAATGGGGGACTCCGGGGGAATGGGAAGACGGGGGAATGGGAAGACGGGGGAATGGGAAGACGGGGGAATGGGAAGACGGGGGAATGGGAAGTCGGGGGAAATGGGGGGGACAAGAAGTTAGGGGAGGCACCACCACAGCTTACCTTACCAGGACCATCGGAGCTCTTGTCGGTACCCCAGCTCGTTCAGCTGCTTCTGGCTGGATCTAGCTCTACGGAGAGAGTGATTCCGTCCTCCATGGCGATCTCAAGGATCTTCTGCTTCACATGTAAATCAATGGTGCTGGAATGAACATGCAAAAATTAACTCACCACCGAGCGTCGGAGCTGTTGTCGGTACCCCAGCCCATTCAGCCTCTTTTTCTGCCGGGTCTGGCTCCACGGAGAGAGTCATCCCGTCGTCCATGGAGATCTCAAGGGTTAGAGCTTACCACTGGTAAGCAAGCGTCGGAGTTCCTGTGCATACCCCAGCTCGTTCAAGCGCTTCTCGGCCGGGCCTAGCTCGAAGGAGAGAGCCATCCCGTCCTCCACGGCGATCTCAAGGACCTTCTGCTGCTGAGGCGCCTCAGAAGATGGGTCCCACAGAGTTTGGAATGCAGCTATACAACTCACCAGCGAGCGTCGGAGCTCTTGTCGGTATCCGAGTTCGTTCAACCTCTTTTCCGCCGGGTCTAGTTCGACGGAGAGGGTGATTCCGTCCTCCATGGTGATCTGAAGGATCTTCTGCTCCGTTCCGACCTCCTCGTCGCGCCGCTGGATCATCGCCACTACCGCGGCGCCCTCAAACGCGGACGCCTCCGTGTACAGCTTCATCTCCTCGCCACGTGGCAACCGCCGCGAAGCTTCGCCGCCATCATCATGGTCCACGTCAGCACAACCGCCGTCACCGCCCGTGCCGGCTTCCTTCGCATCCGCCGATGCGTACGAGTCGTCGTAGTAGTACGAGTCGCACTGTCCTTGCTTCTTCGCTGCGCATCCGTCGCCGGCCGTCGCTTCTATTTCGTCGACGTCTTCTACCATCGCTACCATCGCTACTAGCAGATGAGCCGCGGCTACCTCCGCGAGGAGTTAGTACTGCGTACGCGGAAATGTGGAAACGCGGAAATGCGGAAATGCGGAAACGTGGAAATTCGGGAACGCGGAAACGTGGAAGTGCGGAAACGCCTCAGACTGTTTACGACTTCGGAATCCCTTGGCAACTTGCCGAAAGTTACGACTGTTTACGACTTCGACTTTGAAAGTCGATTATGCGATGAGCTCAGAGCTCCTCGCTACTGAGAGGATGAATTTCCCAGAATAGATTAGCTGCACGCAGATGTATCGTAGAATTCACAGGTGCTATCTACCCGTTCTAGTACACTATACTCCAAAGCGAACGGAAGATAATTTTTAACGACAAAAGAGGTACAAAATTACTGGGAGCCATGGTGCTGCATGCGGTTTAGTCCTGCTTGCCGGAGGATGAAATATCGAGCTTCGCTATCGAGCTTGGCTGGCTATCCATTTCGATGATGGAGGATGGTGATTTTTCAGGGAAGGGGGGAAGGGAGGGATCTTCGAGGCAGCCTTCTCGAAAGATTCGAGAAAGCAACCCTCCAGGGAACTAACGGGCGAATAAAAGGTTTACGGATCGGGTGTACTTGAACTCTCTGAGTCTCAGAAAATAACAGAACGTTTTTTTTGCGCAAACAGGACCGGAATGCCCTGGTGGTTTGGGGTCTGGTCGGATAATTTCGATGGCACTTGGGGATGGTGGTAGACACATTTCGCGTATCGGTAGGCCGACAACAAACCCGAAAATCTGTTCCGAGAATTTTCCGCGAATGCTGGCTAATACTTCAGCTTCTTTCATTTCATGAGCTATATGGAAAGATACCCTGGTTTAGACAGATATTAAAAACAAAAAACCTGGAAACTTAATTAGATTCGGGCGATTCCGCGGCAAGCATTAGCCTTGAGGAGGCATTCTTGAGATGAGTGGGGCCGAGGGTTGGGAACGGGGTGGGATGGAACAGAACAGAAGGACGAGCGGAAGGCGCATTCATGAGAAGCATGGGCGGGAAGGAAGGGGGAGGGAGGACGCGCTACATAGCTTCCAGTTCTCCGATCATTTTCCGATCTTGGCATTGTAGAAAGCTGGTAACCCGTCAGCTACAAAAGCCTCGAAATAGTAATGTAGTAGATCGGAGGGCAGGATCACTTTCGAACCAGAACCGGGAATCAATCGCACATCTAAAAACACTAACGAACCTCCTTGACGAAGTCCCAGATTGCCTTGCCCCAAATGAAACGAAAACAAACGCGATTCGCCAAATCGCCATTGCGAAAACTGTTGGGTGGACTCGAGTCGCGGTTTAGTGGGTGTTGGAAATTGCGACTGTCCTGGGAGGGTTGCTGGGTTTTCACGAAGTTTTATGCGAAATGTCATGCTCGCCAGCTGCAAAACGATACTAGAGATCGAAAGTTGAAAATCTGGAACACGGCTATATCGCGCACTTGATCGATATCTCAGATCGTTTTTAATGAGTCAGAATCGATATCCTTAAAAAGCAGACAATCGAAAAAAAAATTCCCGCGATCCTCCGAAACGGACGCATTGTAGCGCGCCCTAATGGCGTGGGACAATGGGTCTTGTTGGCAAGTTCACTTTCCGAACATTGGGGGGTACCGCGTCCGTAATGTGACGTTCTCCAAACAATACGAATGACCCGGACCAGGGCAAAACAGACCTGATGTCCCACGCCCTAAATGGCTGAGGGAGATGCCCTGAGCATGGGGGCTGATTCATAAGGGCAAAAGGGGTGGATGGGGGAATCTGTCCTCCCAAGCCGCGAATTTGGCTGTGCTTCGAGAACCGCGCGATTCGATGATCGGATTTTGAGCCGCAGGACTGGCTGGCAGGCAATGGGGCGGAATGGCGGTAAGTGCGGGAGAGTTCAATGCCCTGCTGGGGAATCGGGACTCGGGATTCGGCATTTGGGATGGGATCACTGGGAGCAGTGGGGAAACCTTTTAGGGTTTTTAGGTTACCGGTAACCCTTACTAGCTTTTAACTCTTTGGGATCACGTTTAGCCCCAATTACGGAAGGGTTTCTCGCCAATCAAACCCCCCAGGGACATTCTTTTGTTCTTCGAGGTTAGTTCTCTCCACAGCGAACCACGTGTAACAATCTCCTTAATCTTGGGCAGAGGGCAGAAACAATAAAACCCTTATGGGCCTGGCATGGCATTCTGGATGGCATCAACCCTAAACTCGAAAAAGGGCCACGAATTTAGGGTTGATGCCAACCAGAATGGCATACTCGCCCCAATGGGTTTTAGTTTTTTTCTTGCCAGCTAGCCTGCCCGAATGTTGTCAGCCATTTTCAGTAGCGCTACAGATCCCACAATATCGCAGGAAAACAGAGTTCAGTAGCCCCAAAGTGACGGAGCAAGGAGATTGTGACGCGTGGTTTTCTGTGGTGCGAAATAACCTCAAAGAACAAAAAACTGGCCCGGGAGGGTTGGAACAATGAAAAACCCTTCCGTGAAAGGGCTAAATGTTACTCAAAAGTGTAAAACTCCAGTAAGGGTTACCGATAACCTAAAAACCCAAGTTTTTGCGGAGCGGAAGGCGGAAGAGCATCCAGCCGCGCAGAACCAGACGCCAGCGGGCAACGTGGGCTGGACAGGTCACAGACACGCCCAAGCAGTGACAGCCTGCCCGAGTCTGTTCGGTTAGGAACGGTTCGCTAGAGAAAACTGACCTGCGGGTGGTTTGTGTGGGTGGCGGGTCAGGCTGGATTAGGGTGGGGTCCTTCTGGCTTGCAGATCAGGGTAGGATTCAAGGGTGGTTGGAGATTCGAGATTTGGGGTCAGTGAAAGCAACAGGCCAGGTGGGCTTCGTTTGGAGACACGTCGGCGCAAGGAGCGAAGGAAGGAAGGAACCAAGGAACGAGGGAGCACAGAATAGGACGCCAAATTCGGGCCAATTCCGAACAATTTTGACGCCAAGGGAGTTCACAAAGAGCAGAACCACTGTCACGTTGCGTGAGCATGACACCGGGTACGTAAGAAGGGCGTGTTACAAGTTACAACCCAGGGGGTTCAATCTGAAGACCGATCCTAGACTCGGTTTTCAGATGGGTACGACATATTCATGTGGGATTCAATACGTTTTAGTGTGGTGATAAGTGATAGCTAGCAACTCTTGCTGCTTAGAAACTTGCTTCGACCTGAAGCAACAAGCCCTAAGGTTCATACCGTATCCTAAAATGCAGGTAGATACATTTTCCCTAGTCTGCCTCCAAAGTGCCTAGGCATAAGGGGGATAAGAAGAGAATATGTCAACCAATGGCTTTTCGCACCACACCATATCAACAACCTGCAGAATCATTCCATCTTCCTATCCGCTTAGCCCTTCATCCCCCTCCACAACAGGAGCGATTTCCCAAACAGGCCCCTTGAACCACCGACCACATCACAAAGACACCGATTCAAGCTACAATGACGATCTACACCCGGTTCAAGGGTTTGCCACATCGTCACGCCATTATCCACCTAGCACTCTCCATCATTCCATCTTACCTTCCGCTACTTTATCCCCTCCATCCCCCTCCGTAATAGGCACAATCTCCCGGACAGGCCCCTTGAACCAGAAGCGAGCGTGCACCACCCACCAAGTAACAAAAAAACCGATCCAAGCCGCGATCGCAACCGGGGCCCAGTTCAAGTTTTCCACGGTCACAGGGAAGGCGTAGGGTAGCATGAAGACGATCATAGTGTAAAGAACCCACAGCAGGGCCAGGAAGTGAACGACTTTCCTGCTCGGGGGGGTGGGGGGTGGGTAAATGGGGGTGGATGGGGATGGATGGGGGTGGAAAGGGATGGATGGGGGTGGGTGGGGGTGGGTGGGGGTGGGTGGGGGTGGGGAGGGAAAGGAGGTTAATAAGAGCGATGCGGTCACGGGGAAGGCGTAGGGCAGCATGAGGACTATCGTGGTGTAGAGAACCCACAGAAGGGCCAGGAAGTGAACGACTTTCCTGCTCGGGGGGGTGTGGGTTGGAGTGGGGAGGGGACGGGTGGGGGGTGGGTTGGAGTGGGGAAGGGACGGAGGTAGATGAGTGGAGAGACGTGGACAACTGGAAGGCAGAGGGTAGCAAGATATGGACGACTCTGCTGCCCAGGGGGGAAAGTGGGGGAGAGTTTTCAGACGTCTCAAAACTAGATTATTCTCGCACGGACAACGCTGCAGTACAGTGGAGTCATTTTTTAGAATTCTCAAAAATCACTTCAGGGAGGTGAGGGGAAGTAGGGGGTAGGGAGCGCAAGGACAGGGATAAGAGGCCCAGACAGTGACTGCAGACGAATGGCATATCTACTTTTGAGTCGACTCAAAAGGACAAACCGGAATGCTACTGCAGAAAAACAAGAATGAGAGAGTACAACAAAGATCAGGGGATCATTGGTAAGAATCACAGATCTTATCCGGCTGACCACCCCAACGCAACTCGGGATGTAGAACGGGCCTGGCTGAAAACAATCCTCCCGTTTGCGATGGAACGGGCCTGGCTGAAAACAATTGCCTCCTCTCCCTTTGAAAGAGGTGGAAGAACTTGGGGATGGATGGAGCAGGCAAACACCCATCCGATGCTTGAGATGGAGGCCATGGCAACGGAGATGGTGGTTTAGTTAGGTGAAGAGGAGGGGCCCTGGATAAGATTTACCCACCAACTACTGTGTGTGAGGGTCCCGAGATCAGAGAGCGGGCCCGGCTGAAAATCAGAGAACCAGAGATCTTGTCTTACCCGCCGACGACCCCGATGTAATTCGGGATGTAGAACGGGCCGGGCTGGAAGTGGTCCTCCTTCTGAATAAGCCGAAAAAATATCGGAATGGAGTACGCGGACACCCATCCGATGCTTGAGATGGAGGCGATGGCGAAGAAGATGGTGGTTGAGGTGAAGAGGAGGGGCAGCAGGAAGAGAACGCCGATGACCACAGAGAGGAGGAGTGCCAGCACGGGCACCTTGTTGGGCGCCAGCTTGCGCCACAGGAAGGATAGGGGGAGGCCGTTGTCACGGGCTAGAGCATACGCCTGAGGGTGGGAGCAGGCAGGGGATGATAGGGGAGGGGGAAGGGAGGGGAGAAAGGGAGGGGGGAGAGGGAAGAGGAAACGAGGAGGGGGAGAGGGAAGAGGAAACGAGAGGGGGAGAGGGAAGAGGAAACGAGAGGGAGAGAGGGAAGAGGAAACGAGAGGGGGAGAGGGAAGAGGAAACGAGAGGGGGAGAGGGAAGATGGTGATTGAGGTGAAGAGGAGGGGCAGCAGGAAGAGGATGCCGATGACCACCGAGAGCAGCAGCGGCAGCACGGGCACCTTGTTGGGCGCCAGCTTGCGCTACAGGAAGGACAGGGGGAGCCCGTTGTCGCGAGCAAGGGCGTAGGCCTGAGGGTGGGGGCAGGCAGGGGAGGACAGCGGAGGGGGAAGGGAGGGGGGAAAGGGAGGGGGTAAAGGGAGGGGGAGAGGGAAGATGGTGGTGGAGGTGAAGAGGAGGGGCAGCAGGAAAAGAATGCCGATCACCACCGAGAGGAGCAGTGCCAGCACGGGCACCTTGTTGGGCGCCAGCTTGCGCCACAGGAAGGACAGGGGGAGGCCGTTGCCACGTGCCTGCCAGGGCGTATGCCTGAGGGGGGAGCATGGGAGAAGTGAAGGCTGGGAGGGGAGAGGGAGAAACATTCAAGCCACTGCTCGCAGCAGCGCCAGCAATGGCACCTTGTCGGGAACCAGCTTGCGCCAGAGGAAGGACAGGCGAGGCCGTTGTCACGCGCTAGTGCATATGCCTGAGCTGAGGGTGGGTGGGAAAACGCAAGCACAAGGAGTGTTTTTGGGGTGCCTCCCAGCCACTGCTATCAGCAGCAGCACGGGAAGCTGGCTGGAGCGCAGCTTGCACCAAAAGAGGGGGGACGGCCACTGTCATGCACTAAGGCATAGGTGTATTTTGAGTCGACTCAAAATACACCGGCAGCACGTGCCTGGGGGCAGCTTGCGCCAAAGGGGAGGGGGGAAGGCCGTTGTCACGCACTAGGGCACGGGCCAGAGGAGGGGGGGAGGCGGAGGCGAGGACAACAATGTGACTTTAAGCATGCGATAGGCCTGAGAGTGGGTGGGAAAACGCAAGCATGATGAGTGTTTTAAGGTGCCGCCCTGCCATTGCTACCTGAGAGAAGTAACCTTACAGAGAAAGAATTGAACTAGATTGACAGCCAAGAGGCTCTATAGTACAACCAAGGAGGAAAACGGAAGGTTGGAAGGGAAGCCACTGCTATTGGCTACAATAGTGGCCAATGGGAGAGGTAGCTTGGAGGGGAGGCAACCCCAAAGTGTGGTAGTTGCTGATTGGTGGAGCCTTGGGACCATTTGGTTGGAAAGTGCCAACCAAAGGACCAAGGTCAAATCCAATCTTGACCAACCCGAAGTGTGGTTGGTGAACCCAACAACAACCCCCCAATAACTTAAATGTCTACACCCCCTATTCTAGTCATGCATGTTGAAGTATAGATTACAACACTATCAGCAGCAGCACAGGAAGCTGGCTGGAGCGCAGCTTGTGCCAAAGGAGGGGGGGACGGCTGCACTAGGGCCGAGGTCTGAGGAGAGGGGGAGGCGGAGGTGAGGAGGATGATGTTACATTAAGCATGCGATAGGTAACATTTCATTGACTACATGTGTTATATGGCATAACATGTGATCTCATGTGAGCACGACTGATATTAAACACTGTACATGAGATAAAGCAAATAGCGGATGTGATACAAAGAACATGTGGAATAAAAAGCAAGTGTGTGAAATAAAGCAAATGAGTGGTATGAAGCACATGTGTGATAAAAAGGTGACTTTTGAGTCGACTCAAAAGTCACATTTTTACAAGCACTCTTCGAAACTAACTTTCACAGGTGTCACAACATAGTTGCTGCCACGTATTGACAACATGGCACCCAACTGGTGTTCCATTGGATAAAAAGCAAGTGTGTGAAATAAGGCAAATGAGTGGTATGAAGCACATGTGTGATAAAATGCAGAACATGTAATTCGTAGCAAGCTGACCAGAGACTCAACACTCGCGACACTCCTAGCTGCCCAGGGACTGTTCCAAAGAAGGAGGACGTATGCATGACGCCGATGACTACTCTCGCAGGTGATCCAGATAAATTCACGTACCCAACTCAACATTTCTATCCTACTTTCTTCACACACTCACCACTCGCCGACGCTCCTAGCTGCCCAGAGACAGTTCCAAAGAAGAAGGAGGTGTAGATGATGCCTGTAAAGATCTGCGCTCCCAGCCCCGACCCGTAGCTGATGGGCGGGGTAGAAAGGAGAGGAGGGGAGAGAGGGAGCGAGGGAGGGGGGACAGGGAGAGGAAGAGGTCGTAAGAAAGAAGGAGGACGTGTAGAGTAGATGATCAGAGTAAAGATCTGTCCTCCCAGCCCAGAACCGTAGCTGGCAGGTGGTGGAGAGGGAGAGGGGAGAGAGAAGGTGGTAGGATGAGAGAGGGGAGGGAGGGAGGGAGGGAGGGAGGGAGGGGGCCGAAGTCCAAAAGAAGACGGAGGTGTGGATGATCCCTGTGAAGATCTACGCTCCCAACCCAGAGCCGTAGCTGGCAAGGGGGAGTGGAGGGAGGAGGGGGGGTGGGAAGAGAGGAGAGACGGGGTGAATTGGACACACCCCCTCACCATGCATTAGAAGGCGTCCCAAAGAATCTGAATCACCAGCTGCATGCCATTGGTCACCGTGGTGGGAGGGGGCCCCAGGAGCATAATACGACGCCCATAAACGAAGGCCTTCAGGAGCGCAATACAGCACATAGCATGTGATAAAGAACGAACAGACTTGCAGTACATAAAAGGCATCCTCCCCACAGGATCTGGCACATCCTCCCCACAGGATCTGGCACATCAGAATGAGCAGCAGGAGCAGGAGCAGGAGCAGGAGCAGGAGCAGGAGCAGGAGCAGGAGCAGGAGCAGGAGCAGGAGCAGGAGCAGGAGCAGGAGCAGGAGCAGGAGCAGGAGCAGGAGCAGGAGCAGGAGCAGGAGCAGGAGCAGGAGCAGGAGCAGGAGCAGGAGCAGGAGCAGGAGCAGGAGCAGGAGCAGAGCAGGAGCAGGAGCAGGAGCAGGAGCAGGAGCAGGAGCAGGAGCAGGAGCAAGCAGGAGCAGGAGCAGGAGCAGGAGCAGGAGCAGGAGCAGGAGCAGGAGCAGGAGCAGGAGCAGGAGCAGGAGCAGGAGCAGGAGCAGGAGCAGGAGCAGGAGCAGGAGCAGGAGCAGGAGCAGGAGCAGGAGCAGGAGCAGGAGCAGGAGCAGGAGCAGGAGCAGGAGCAGGAGCAGGAGCAGGAGCAGGAGCAGGAGCAGGAGCAGGAGCAGGAGCAGGAGCAGGAGCAGGAGCAGGAGCAGGAGCAGGAGCAGGAGCAGGAGCAGGAGCAGGAGCAGGAGCAGGAGCAGGAGCAGGAGCAGGAGCAGGAGCAGGAGCAGGAGCAGGAGCAGGAGCAGGAGCAGGAGCAGGAGCAGGAGCAGGAGCAGGAGCAGGAGCAGGAGCAGGAGCAGGAGCAGGAGCAGGAGCAGGAGCAGGAGCAGGAGCAGGAGCAGGAGCAGGAGCAGGAGCAGGAGCAGGAGCAGGAGCAGGAGCAGGAGCAGGAGCAGGAGCAGGAGCAGGAGCAGGAGCAGGAGCAGGAGCAGGAGCAGGAGCAGGAGCAGGAGCGAGCAGGAGCAGGAGCAGAGCAGGAGCAGGAGCAGGAGCAGGAGCAGGAGCAGGAGCAGGAGCAGGAGCAGGAGCAGGAGCAGGAGCAGGAGCAGGAGCAGGAGCAGGAGCAGGAGCAGGAGCAGGAGCAGGAGCAGGAGCAGGAGCAGGAGCAGGAGCAGGAGCAGGAGCAGGAGCAGGAGCAGGAGCAGGAGCAGGAGCAGGAGCAGGAGCAGGAGCAGGAGCAGGAGCAGGAGCAGGAGCAGGAGCAGGAGCAGGAGCAGGAGCAGGAGCAGGAGCAGGAGCAGGAGCAGGAGCAGGAGCAGGAGCAGGAGCAGGAGCAGGAGCAGGAGCAGGAGCAGGAGCAGGAGCAGGAGCAGGAGCAGGAGCAGGAGCAGGAGCAGGAGCAGGAGCAGGAGCAGGAGCAGGAGCAGGAGCAGGAGCAGGAGCAGGAGCAGGAGCAGGAGCAGGAGCAGGAGCAGGAGCAGGAGCAGGAGCAGGAGCAGGAGCAGGGGCAGGAGCAGGAGCAGGAGCAGGAGCAGGAGCAGGAGCAGGAGCAGGAGCAGGAGCAGGAGCAGGAGCAGGAGCAGGAGCAGGAGCAGGAGCAGGAGCAGGAGCAGGAGCAGGAGCAGGAGCAGGAGCAGGAGCAGGAGCAGGAGCAGGAGCAGGAGCAGGAGCAGGAGCAGGAGCAGGAGCAGGAGCAGGAGCAGGAGCAGGAGCAGGAGCAGGAGCAGGAGCAGGAGCAGGAGCAGGAGCAGGAGCAGGAGCAGGAGCAGGAGCAGGAGCAGGAGCAGGAGCAGGAGCAGGAGCAGGAGCAGGAGCAGGAGCAGGAGCAGGAGCAGGAGCAGGAGCAGGAGCAGGAGCAGGAGCAGGAGCAGGAGCAGGAGCAGGAGCAGGAGCAGGAGCAGGAGCAGGAGCAGGAGCAGGAGCAGGAGCAGGAGCAGGAGCAGGAGCAGGAGCAGGAGCAGGAGCAGGAGCAGGAGCAGGAGCAGGAGCAGGAGCAGGAGCAGGAGCAGGAGCAGGAGCAGGAGCAGGAGCAGGAGCAGGAGCAGGAGCAGGAGCAGGAGCAGGAGCAGGAGCAGGAGGAGGAGCAGGAGCAGGAGCAGGAGCAGGAGCAGGAGCAGGAGCAGGAGCAGGAGCAGGAGCAGGAGCAGGAGCAGGAGCAGGAGCAGGAGCAGGAGCAGGAGCAGGAGCAGGAGCAGGAGCAGGAGCAGGAGCAGGAGCAGGAGCAGGAGCAGGAGCAGGAGCAGGAGCAGGAGCAGGAGCAGGAGCAGGAGCAGGAGCAGGAGCAGGAGCAGGAGCAGGAGCAGGAGCAGGAGCAGGAGCAGGAGCAGGAGCAGGAGCAGGAGCAGGAGCAGGAGCAGGAGCAGGAGCAGGAGCAGGAGCAGGAGCAGGAGCAGGAGCAGGAGCAGGAGCAGGAGCAGGAGCAGGAGCAGGAGCAGGAGCAGGAGCAGGAGCAGGAGCAGGAGCAGGAGCAGGAGCAGGAGCAGGAGCAGGAGCAGGAGCAGGAGCAGGAGCAGGAGCAGGAGCAGGAGCAGGAGCAGGAGCAGGAGCAGGAGCAGGAGCAGGAGCAGGAGCAGGAGCAGGAGCAGGAGCAGGAGCAGGAGCAGGAGCAGGAGCAGGAGCAGGAGCAGGAGCAGGAGCAGGAGCAGGAGCAGGAGCAGGAGCAGGAGCAGGAGCAGGAGCAGGAGCAGGAGCAGGAGCAGGAGCAGGAGCAGGAGCAGGAGCAGGAGCAGGAGCAGGAGCAGGAGCAGGAGCAGGAGCAGGAGCAGGAGCAGGAGCAGGAGCAGGAGCAGGAGCAGGAGCAGGAGCAGGAGCAGGAGCAGGAGCAGGAGCAGGAGCAGGAGCAGGAGCAGGAGCAGGAGCAGGAGCAGGAGCAGGAGCAGGAGCAGGAGCAGGAGCAGGCAGAGCAGGAGCAGGAGCAGGAGCAGGAGCAGGAGCAGGAGCAGGAGCAGGAGCAGGAGCAGGAGCAGGAGCAGGAGCAGGAGCAGGAGCAGGAGCAGGAGCAGGAGCAGGAGCAGGAGCAGGAGCAGGAGCAGGAGCAGGAGCAGGAGCAGGAGCAGGAGCAGGAGCAGGAGCAGGAGCAGGAGCAGGAGCAGGAGCAGGAGCAGGAGCAGGAGCAGGAGCAGGAGCAGGAGGAGCAGGAGCAGAGAGCAGGAGCAGGAGCAGGAGCAGGAGCAGAGCAGGAGCAGGAGCAGGAGCAGGAGCAGGAGCAGGAGCAGGAGCAGGAGCAGGAGCAGGAGCAGGAGCAGGAGCAGGAGCAGGAGCAGGAGCAGGAGCAGGAGCAGGAGCAGGAGCAGGAGCAGGAGCAGAAGCAGGAGCAGGAGCAGGAGCAGGAGCAGGAGCAGGAGCAGGAGCAGGAGCAGGAGCAGGAGCAGGAGCAGGAGCAGGAGCAGGAGCAGGAGCAGGAGCAGGAGCAGGAGCAGGAGCAGGAGCAGGAGCAGGAGCAGGAGCAGGAGCAGGAGCAGGAGCAGGAGCAGGAGCAGGAGCAGGAGCAGGAGCAGGAGCAGAGCAGGAGCAGGAGCAGGAGCAGGAGCAGGAGCAGGAGCAGGAGCAGGAGCAGGAGCAGGAGCAGGAGCAGGAGCAGGAGCAGGAGCAGGAGCAGGAGCAGGAGCAGGAGCAGGAGCAGGAGCAGGAGCAGGAGCAGGAGCAGGAGCAGGAGCAGGAGCAGGAGAGCAGGAGCAGGAGCAGGAGCAGGAGCAGGAGCAGGAGCAGGAGCAGGAGCAGGAGCAGGAGCAGGAGCAGGAGCAGGAGCAGGAGCAGGAGCAGGAGCAGGAGCAGGAGCAGGAGCAGGAGCAGGAGCAGGAGCAGGAGCAGGAGCAGGAGCAGGAGCAGGAGCAGGAGCAGGAGCAGGAGCAGGAGCAGGAGCAGGAGCAGGAGCAGGAGCAGGAGCAGGAGCAGGAGCAGGAGCAGGAGCAGGAGCAGGAGCAGGAGCAGGAGCAGGAGCAGGAGCAGGAGCAGGAGCAGGAGCAGGAGCAGGAGCAGGAGCAGGAGCAGGAGCAGGAGCAGGAGCAGGAAGCAGGAGCAGGAGCAGGAGCAGGAGCAGGAGCAGGAGCAGGAGCAGGAGCAGGAGCAGGAGCAGGAGCAGGAGCAGGAGCAGGAGCAGGAGCAGGAGCAGGAGCAGGAGCAGGAGCAGGAGCAGGAGCAGGAGCAGGAGCAGGAGCAGGAGCAGGAGCAGGAGCAGGAGCAGGAGCAGGAGCAGGAGCAGGAGCAGGAGCAGGAGCAGGAGCAGGAGCAGGAGCAGGAGCAGGAGCAGGAGCAGGAGCAGGAGCAGGAGCAGGACAGGAGCAGGAGCAGGAGCAGGAGCAGGAGCAGAGCAGGAGCAGGAGCAGGAGCAGGAGCAGGAGCAGAGCAGGAGCAGGAGCAGGAGCAGGAGCAGGAGCAGGAGCAGGAGCAGGAGCAGGAGCAGGAGCAGGAGCAGGAGCAGGAGCAGGAGCAGGAGCAGGAGCAGGAGCAGGAGCAGGAGCAGAGAGAGCAGGAGCAGGAGCAGGAGCAGGAGCAGGAGCAGGAGCAGGAGCAGGAGCAGGAGCAGGAGCAGGAGCAGGGGAAGCAGGAGCAGGAGCAGGAGCAGGAGCAGGAGCAGGAGCAGGAGCAGGAGCAGGAGAGAGCAGGAGCAGGAGCAGGA